AAAGGTCCTATTTACAGAAGTAAAATAATAAAGGACAAAAGATAATTTTTATTGTTTTCACTACCCCAAATGAAAAAAAAATAAATGGTAGAAAGAAATAGTAAAATTTTACACTGAAAAAACTGAAATATAAGAGTACTAAAAGGGACCTTCACCAGCTTATAGTCAAAGAAAAAGGGTGTCTACAATTTAGAAATCTAAGTTGTTATTCTGCAAGTGAGCACCACTACAAGGGATTTTGTTTATGCATTACTCTAAAATCGTACCACCCTATATAGTTTCTTTTTTACGTTATCTGATTAAGTCCTTTGTGTACCCCTGTCCGTTGTGATACCAATGTCTATTTCGTTACTTTTTTTAGTTTTTGTTAAAAAAAATACTTAAATAGTTATTTATGTATTAAGGGCATAATAAGGTTTTTATGGTCCGAGGCGCTATTTCGAGCCCGAGCGCGTTAGCGCGAGGGCTAGAAAAGCGTCGTAGGACCATAAAAACCAGTTATGCCAGCAATGCATACAAAACTTTATGCACGATTAATATATTATTATTTTTAATATATTATTGTTTTTAAAGACGTTTACTTCAAAGAATTTTTGTTATAATTGTCATATTATAATGTCAACTGACATCAGTCAGTTTTAAAGTTTAAAGATAAATGAAATTGAGGAAGCAGCTGAAAAGGCGAAAAATTGCGGCCTGCTGCCGGTAAAATCAAAATCTTTATACGAAAAAACTTACTTCGAATATATCAAATGGTGTAACATTGTTGTTTTTAATTTTTGACGTTTCATTATAGCCCGCTGGGCCATAATAACGCCCGCGGGCTATAAAAAGACGTTTACGTCAAAGAATTTTTGTTATAATTGTCATATTATAATGTCATCGTGCATAAATGATTTTTATACACTTGGTAATATGTTTTTATAAATTAGAGTTTAATTCACTAATACAGTGACTAAAAGAAAATATTAATGGTATTGTTTTTTTAACAAAGCATCGGAATGGTTTCTTTTAAAAAGTAACTTAACGAACACACATATTTAAAAAAAGCATAGAATTTTTAATAAAAAATAAAAGAAAAAATTGGAGTCAAAAGTTTGTGAACTAAGTGCATTTTATTTCAAATTATTTTTATAACAACTTTTTTTATTGAATTCAATTTTGGATTTCAAATTGGTAACACAGTGGAAATATATAAAGCTAGCTAAACACATTTTTCTGAAAAAAAAACGTAAAAAAAATTAAAAAGTGCACTGCCTGTCTTAAATGTAAGTAAACAAAACTCTAAACATTTATAAAAATCCAACCAAAAGTCAATTTAAGCAAAAAAAATATTTTGATCTTCAGCGGGTGTTTCTTGAAAATGACCCATATACAGTGAAACCCATTGGTAAAATCTTTATTTATTGTGTGTTTTAAAGTGTATCTCTTGACAAACTGTTTTTTTTTGAGCAAAAAACATATCACCATATACTGACACAGTAGCCTTGAATACAAGGCTACTGTGTCAGTTTTTGAAAGTAATTTTTTAAGAATTCATATTAGCGATTTTTTTTAACAAAATCTGAGCACGGCACTGGATTCACCACACCTCTAAATATTTTCCTTTGTTAAAATAATTACCAACCCTGTATTTCTACAAAAATTTAAAATTAAAAAATTAAAATTAACAAACTATCTAAGTAAATAAAAATACGTTCTCAAACTAAAGGAAAATGTGTACCACCCTGTAAAGCCCTAATAAAGATAAAATATAAAAATGTCAATAAAAATAGTTCATAAAATTCCCTAAAATAAATTAGTAATTCCAAATAAATCCAGATAATTAATACTAACATAATCATACAAATTTAATAAAAGCAACTTATTCTTTTTTATCGAACGTGGGCCGAAACGGACACGCATAGCCCATTTAATTTCCATAAAATAAAAAGAACAAACACGCCCAAAAATAATTTAGCGATATGGCCTATCGCCTCCCATAATAAGAGAGAGGATAAAATAAGAAAACGAATCGTCAGAGTGGTCGGCAAGTTTTTCGAATTTCTCGGAACGCCAAATCGACTCGTGCTCTGTAATTTGCGCTCGACTACTGTCAAAATCCCAGTTGCCACGACGACGGAGCCGCGTTGCCATGGCCATGTAAACAAGTATCCTAGCAACGGCGTAAATAAAGCGTATTAAAAGCCTTTCCGGATTTGAATTGCAAAAATGTTCACAATTTGTTTCGTTAAATGCAAAAACTGGTAATTTGTGAGATATCCAAAGACTGTGACGCTCCGCAGTAAATTTGAACGCACATAAGTAAGATTGTTAGTTTTTTTTTGAACCCATAAATTCGCGAAACAATGAATATTAAAATCACAGTGTGGTTTTATTTAAATTTCCTTGAATCGCAAATTTCGCATGTACCTGTTTACTGTTAGGTTTATCTTTTGATTTAGGCCTCACTGACATAATATTTCTTTACCCGCGGGTTAATCTGATTTTGAAATGCCATGCGCACCGAAATAATTATTAAGCAGAAAAGGTACTTAACCTCTTTTAAAGCCTAACATTGTACACTCTACTGGGTTTTTCAATTTCATACAATAAAAATTGTGTGAGATAGGTACACAGTATAAAAATTATTTGTAAATTTTAACTAGGCTTTATGTTAATCCAGGTCCACATTGGCTATAATTACAAACCAGGGTTTTCTACAAAATAAAATTAACAAACTACAAACTCCTGTTAACAAATCTAATTTTTATAACAGTGTACAATAAGAATTCTGTGAGATATGTTTTTTTTTTTTGACTTGTTTCTTTAATAAGTCACTTTTCATGCAAAAAGAAAAATGCAAAAATATAATTTTTCTATAGCATTCTCGCAAAGAAATATTGTCACTGATTGTATCAACTTGGCGACATTAAAACGTTTGATATACAACTTTGACCAAGAGTCACATTTTTTTAAGTAGGTAAAGTATCAAATGTCCATATATTACAGTTACATGTAATAAAATAGGATTTAAAATATTTGTGGTTTTGCATGCTAAAAATTTACTACTTTACTAACAAATTTTACGATGACTTCTTAAATTTGTTTTGCATTTTTAATCATAGTGATAATTCCTTTACCATTTTCACGAATTCTCAAAATTGCAGGTGGTAATTATTTTTCAAATGGGACCAATTAAGGGGGTACATTTTGAAATTTTTTTCTTCACCTCCGCAAAGCTTTATAAAAATTATAAAACTTCCACAATAGCGGGTTAAAATTTTGTCTTTTTGGCAGAATAAAAGCCAAAACATAAAAAATAAAAAAATCGAATTAAAAAAAAATATATCCTTTGATTATACAGAAAATAACGTTATTATACTTCGGGGGATAATTCTGCAAGTAAAAATAAAAGAAAAATTTGCTACAGAAAATACGTCCTGGGGCGCTATAGGCTTTTAAACTGTTTCGGAAAATCAGGTTTTTATTAATCATTTCTTATGTATGTATATACTGTATATAATTATATCCAATCTTGTATACTTGTATATCATTATAATTATATAGGACACATTTTATAGACAAATATTTGACAGTTGTCATAAATGAAATACAATAAAAAATTTAAAGTCATAGCAAACTCTTGCTAATAAAAGTTTAATCTAACTTTTCCTGATTTCGAAAAGAAAACAACTTTTCTAAAAAAAATTGATTTTTATTAACTTTGGATATAGCTATTTGGGATAGTACTAAACGATGTCTGTAGTCAGTGTTACAATAAAAAAATGCATAACCTGTTTTTTTTTTAAATTTTGACCAACCTTTTAAATCTGGTTTTTGGGTTTTGAACAATTTGCTTATTCCCATTACGCTTAGTTTTTAATTCTCTACAATGGAAAAAAAGTCCGTCCTTAAATAAAAAATGTACAAAAAGAAACACACAGAGTATATATATATTATATCAGAACAATAGGTTTTCTACTTTACGCCAGTAGTATGCAACCAATGTTGCAAGACTGAAATGCCTTCCATCTCGTCATCCAGCCGAGCTCTATTTAATTAACTTTAATATAAAAATTTAATAATTATTTAATTTTTAAATATAATTTTAACATACCTTAATAAACTTTAACATTTTAAAAAGTGTTTTTTACATTCTTAAATACATGACATGTGCGTTAATAAATCTTGACATGTTTAAATATAACTTGTAGATATGAACAAAATAGTATATTATGTATCAAGCGAATATTTAATTAAATGAGCCTCTATAAAAGTTTATAAACGAGTTGCAAATTTGCATGTGTAAATCGAAATTTATTCCTTGAAAATGGACTAACAACCGTTTAAATCTGATATAGAAGCAGTTTCTCACAGTGAAACTGAAATTTTGATTTTATAGGTTGGCTATACTTTAAACAGCATAATATTTTGCATATTGGTTACAATATTTTTATGATTTTTCTAGTATCTACTTACGAGACTTTTCTGGCAATAAATTTTGTTTAACACCAAAGAAAATCCTTTTTTTCTTTTTTAACATTAACAGCCGCTTATTGTAAATAAGTTAATTAAGGACGGCATGGCGAATCGATTTTGACATTAACTGTCAAACCAATGACTGTGATACCAACTATCTGAAGTAAAATTCGACCAGATTAAATTTAAGGTATAAAATAAATTTTTTTTATAGAATTTTTGCAAAATATATAAAATAGCATAAAGAACTTGTCATAAGACCTTTTGTCGCACTCGTACATTACAAAACTCTTCTTATGACATTAGTTCTTTAATAAACTATAGTATGGAGATAAAATAAAATAATTTTAACTTTAACTTAAAACTAACTTTCTGTGACTAAAACACCATAAAGCCAAAACTTGTACAATAATGGGCGTTTTAAAGGTGAGCGTGGAAAAAGAAAATTTTGCACACTGAAATTAAGGTCCGTGGACTAAAAATCAACAAAAATATTCTTTTGTCAATGATATTTTGGCATGCGTATTGTGCAGTTCCCGTTACGTCGAATTCAGTTGTACCAACACGATAAAATAATTGACGGTCGAGCTGATTAGCAACATTGTTGTGCCTTTGTTGATCCTGAAAAATCCCGCAGCTGTAAAAACAGGATCTTCATAATAAAGGTGCGTGGACAAGAGGCTCAATTCGATTCTTCTTGAACTGAAAGAACATCTTAGTTCGACTTCCTGACACGTCTTTATCAAATTTCGTCCCTCCTCAGTCGCCCAATGACATGCGAAAATTATGTTCACCGAACAAGTCTGAAAAAAACAACTTTTTTATACGGGGCTTCCTGAAAACAAACACAATTATTTCTACTTACCATGAATAAAGATACATGCACAAATCTTGGTATAAGTGATAAATCAAAAGACAGAATAAAAAATTCTTCGTACAACGTCAAAATATCGAAAAAAGACAGCCCGAGAAGAGCGAAAATTTGCCTGCCAAACAAAAAATTAAACTTCTTCGTAATGTTAAAAATAATACCAGTAATTTTTTTTACATCTCTTATATTATTGTTTCCATTCATAATTAAATTTCCGACGTCCCTGTACATAATTCTGATTAAATGCGCCAACGTGGAAATAAGGATGACGATGTAAATATTAGTGGTGGTCACTATAATCATAAGAATTCCTTTGAAATCACCCTTAGTGATGTATATTAAAAGTGTACTAAAAATAGTGTATGCTATTGCACATACAAGCAATATTCTCCTGAAAGGGTATTTGAGGCAATCCTGCGGGAATATTTTTCGCTCCTGCAGATCTATTATATCCCTCAAAAACCTCATAAGGTGTTTTTTGTAAATATATTTCGTAAAAATCGTCATTTGAGCAATGTACAGCAAAAACATAACGTTCATTTTGTCACAAAATAAATGTAGACATTTGGTTATGTTGTTTTTATTTATATCCATTTTAAATAAAGGTGATAGTAGAGAAATGTTCCAAAATAATGTTGATAGGAAGAAAATACTCCAAAATACATCCAGTATTTTTTGCCGATACGAATGCTTGTTAAGTTCGTTAAAATCAATAGTTATTCCCAAAAATTTACCGAAATAAAAGAGTTTTTGGATGAATTTTAAATCGTTCATTTTTGTTACTTGTTTTGATAAACTCGAACTAATTATTTTCTATGAATATTTAAACCGATTATTAAATGTTTCAATTAAATTCCAATTACTGATATACGTACTTGTCATACAAGTCATTATAATGGTAAATATAAATATAAATTTGATAGAGATAAATAACGCATTTACTGAAAATGGATGATACACAAATATTGGAAAAAGTCCTTAATATGGGCAAATTTTTATCCTTTATTAACTACAATAAACAGCATAGTTTAAAGCAAAAAATATTGAACGTATTTTGGGATATATTTTATGGAATTTTGGTCATTTTGCAGATTTATTTTGGTGTGGAAAGTATTAAAATAACTGGGAATAAAGTTTCATATATTTTACTCTTAATAGGAGATAATATCATAATGCTCTTACTGGTATTTATTCCTTTTACGACAATCCTAAGAGTACAGTTTTCAAGCCAACATAAGGAAGAATTATTGGAGAATATTTTTTATGTGCATAAAAACCTTGGATTAAAAAAATCTTTTGCGAAAAGTTTTACGTGGACACTTATTCTTTTCTCTTTCAGCCTAACATCTTATATCATGTCCACCTTTATTTTGGAGTTTCACTGGGATATTATGGCCAAAGTTATTCTCACTTTTAATACAGTTTTTTTCGTATTGATATGTACCTTACTAATGGTAAATATAAATTTTAGAATGAAGGATTTAAAGCTACTATTAAAAAAAGTATGTGGCGAAAGATTAAAGTTAAGTGATACCTATAACGTTGAAAGTATAAGAAATGTTAACAAGCTTTACTTCGCTCTCTACGGATGTGTGGACAATATCAATGAACATTTTGGGGTGCAAGTTTTAGCCCTCTTTAGCTTAACGTTTTTCGATATATTAAGTTTATATCAGCATTTACTATTAAATGGTTTGACTCCGGAAATATTACCAAGATTTTTACACTGTGTCATATTTATAGTAAGTTTTTGTGATCGTTCTAACGACCTTAAAATCTTTGAATGCAAATAACTAGTAAAAGCGATAAAATGATCAAAGATTCAAAATTTTGACTATTTTAAAATTTTACAATTTAGCTAGGTGGTTGTGAAGAAATAGGCCGTCGTGTTGAATTGATTTGTTCCCATCTCTCATATGCACAATCCAAGAAGACTAAATAGAGGAGAAGGGTAGGGAGTCCTGACATTGACTTATAGAGCAATTTTTTTTAAATTGTTAAGATTTGGCAAATTTTAATAATTTCAGAAATGTTGTGAATTTTGAAAGTTTAGGAAATTACAATAATTTTAAAATTTCCGATATTTTAAATTAAATTTTGATTGTATTTGTATATTTGCGAAATTTTGATGTTTTTGTAAATTATAAAATTTTGGGAATTTTGAAAACTGAAAATCTCGATAATTTTGGAAATTTCAATAATTATTATTATTATTATTTATAAAAAATATTGGATGTTGGATTGATTTATTTCCATATCTTTTATGCACAACCCAAGAAGACTAAAGAGAGGAGAAGGTCAGGGACAGGTCAGGTCCTGACATGGACTTATAGAGCAATGCTCTAAAAGCATTGTTCGTTCTTAAATAGACCCCTGTATATTAGCGAAACTTCCACAATTTTGGAAATTTTGAAAATTTTGAAAATTTCGCAAATCTTAATAATTTTGATTTTTAAAATTTTGAGCAATTTTAAAAAATTTTAAAATAGAGAAGAAGGACAGGGAGTCCTGACATAGACTTATTTTAAATTTTTGAACATTTTGTAAATTTCAGAAATTTTGAAAATTTTGTTAATTTTAAAAATTTAGGAAATTACATTAATTTTAAAAATTCCTATTTTTTAAATTAAATTTTGATTTTAGAAATTTTGAACATCTTTGGAATATTTTTTAAAATTTTGACAATTTTTAAAATTTTAAAAATTTCCACGCACCTTATCATTTTCTACTCGTTAAACCCTCTTTTGATACCCTTGTCAACGAGGTTTGAAGAAATAGGCCGCCATATTATTGATTAATTGATTTCCAACCCAAGAAGACTAAAGAGAGGAGAGGGCCAGGCAGGGATCCTGACATAGACAATGCTCTATAAGAATTGCTCGTTCTTAAATAGTCAGCCTGTAAATTTGCGAAATTTTGACGATTTTGGAAATTCTATTATTTTAGAAAATTCTTAAAATTAAAAAAAAATTGTAAATTTTGGGAATTTTGAAAATCTTGGAAATACCTATTTAAATTACAATTGTGTAAAAAATTCCGAGATTTTAAATTAAATTTGGATTTTGGAAATTTTAAACATTTTTGAAAATTTGAACAATTTCCACGCATTTCCACTCGTCAAACCTCAATCTATTTTGCGTTCATAATGACTTCATTGTTACACCGCTTTCGGTGCTGTAATGAGGTACTTTACCCCACCCAAAATTTTGATTTTATGGGTTGGCGACTTTAAACAGCATACTAGTAAAATAATATTTCGCATATTGGTTATAATATTTTTATGATTTTTCAAGTACTTACGAGACTTTTCTGACAATAAATTTTGTTTAACACCAAGGAAAATCCTTTTTTTCTTCTTTAACATTAACAGCCGCTTATTGCAAATTAACTGTCAAACCAATGACTGTGATACCAACTATCTAAAGTAAAATTCGACCAAATTAAATTTAAGGTAGGTATAAAATTATTTTTTTATAGAATTTTTCCAAAATAGATAAAATAGCATAAATAACCCGTCGCTCGTTTTATAAATTGTTTAAACAATTGTCTATCGGCAAGTTTTGGTCGTTAGGGCGATTTTCTCACCATTCCATGAACATTTTTTATTTGTGATCCATTTTAGATTTGCACCTTCTCTATAATCTCACTAAGCGACTCTGTGATCGAAGAAGCAAAAAACCTTTTATCGACATGTTGCGAGCTGGAAAATAAATTCCCCATTAATTCGAAAGAACGTTGCGAAATTTTGTACCTCTCCTCGCAAATTTTCAAACTCCTGCCGGTGTATAAGGCCGCCCTGCTCACCAATATAAACAAATCGACTTCTCTGTCGCTTTTAACAAGTACTGTTACGTATTTTATTGTTTTAATACAACTTAATACAATGGACAATTAAAAATGTATGGGATGGGTTTGCACACATTTTTAATGTATTTTTGATTCGTTAATTATGTCTTAAATATATGTATGAAATTTTAAAATGAGTTTTTTTATGTTATGCTTAAATGCGTGTTTTACATTTTTAAATGTGATTTTTATATGCTAAAATGTATTTTAGCATTTTTTTCGCAAACGTAAGAAAAAAGGAAATGTTGAAATATGTTTTCCTTTAATATGTATTGATTTTTTATCTCCGGTAATTTTGTATTAGAATCTAATCTAATTGCAAATTCTTAAATTTTAGGTATGCAACCAATTTAACAACCACGCATCCGCATTGCCTAAATTGGCAATCGTTTGTTTATGTTGGTGTCTCTGACATGCGCGGTTCCGAAACGTCAAAAAAAACGCGATTCACATCGCTTCAATTTAAATGGCACATTTGCCATTAATCTCGTTCCAAATTCCATGTTAGCAGTGCGTATATCAAAAAATTCGCGTGTCCTTAAATAAAAAAAAATGTCCGTGGGCACTGACAAGGACAAGGTGAAGGAGTTCTATTCAAATGATATTGTGTACAAATTCGACAAAAATAAACGAATCACGTTTGGGGTTGTGATTGATAGTTACGAGGCCTCCTCCGATGTGGACGAATACCATTCCCTGCAAAAAGGCCAAATCAGACTGCTGTGGAGCAACCACTCGCTGGAGCAGGTTTGGAGCCAAAGTAAGGTTCGGCTTATCAACCGTGGCATCCTCCCAGGGGACGTTGTGAGGCGTTTAGTCAAAGGCAAAGAGACCCAGAGGGGCTACTGCAAAGAAACGAAGCAAACTGCCACCTTGCAAATCGTGGGAACAGACAAAGTGATTGAACATGTCTGCAGCGACAGATTACAAAGTATTCGCCCCTTTGAAACTGAAGATGCGGTTTGTTTGGACAATAAATTTGGCAGAATAGATGTAAGTAACGTTTTAACGACAATTTAACATACTTATAACTTTCATCCATAGACTATTGAGCAAATTGTGACGATGCAATCAAAATGTGGGTCCATGGTGGAAGTTTTAACAAGTATAAATCATGATTTAGATGATTATTGGTTGTCTAAAAGAAATAGGATTTCCTTTGATACCTATTACCCTGGACAAGAAGTAGTGAGTAGTTTTTTTTTAAACATTTTTATGTCAGTTTTTACCTGCATTTTTTACATAAAAAAAGTGTGTTGTTTTCATACACTATAGCAGATGTTTTATAAATAATTTAATAATTGGAATTTAATATTAAGCAATATAATTAATTACCTACCTATAGTATATAAAATTGACATGTAAATTTGTCTCATTTTATGGATGTTTTTAACTACCTATTTTTTTTTAAATTTATTCATGATATAGATACCTATATACTGTGTTTTTTTTAAGTAGAAGAAGAATATTCTAATTTTTAATTACATTATTTTAAATAGATACTAGCTCTACACCCAAAAGTCCCACCTTTACATTTGAATACAAATAATTGAGGTTATCTATCTGTCAGTTTAACGCTAGTTTCGTTTTATCTTTTGAAAATAATACATTATATGTATATTTTGTGTATAATTTTGGACCCAAAGTATACATGTATTGTATTATTTTCAAATGTCAAAGTGGGACTTTTTGGTGTGGAGCAGCTCCACCAAAAAGTTAATACAATTTAATTAATTTAATAAATTTAACTTTACAAATTTCTCCAACAAAGTGTGAATAATTAAAAGCGTTTTATAGAATATATTCAAATAAAGGAGCTGGCATAGTTTACAGATGGGGCATTCCACGTTACTCGGTAATTTTTGTCCCGCCCGTCACAATTAAAAATTGTGAGTAAAAACCACAAGTTATAAAATTAATATTTTATAATATTATTTTTATTGTGCTTATAACTTATTAAAAGCATAATAAAACAATATTTTTAAATAAATTTTATAACGTGTAGTTTTTACTCACAATTTTTAATTGTGACGGGCGGGACAAAAATTCCCGAGTAACGTGGAATGACCCAGATGTTTTATTATTAAATTTTAACTTTTTTAAAAGTGAAGAAATTTACTAAATATACTTAACTGTTTGGAAAAGGTTTTAAAAACCTTGGGAAGCAAAAAAAAATTTTTATCCAAAAATATCTAGATTTTTACTTAAATAACCCTGACAGCATGGCATTCCAATTGTGATTTATTATTATTTTTTAATACTAACCATGCACATATTTGGTTGAAACTTTAAATTACTAATATTTTTTTACTGAAATCCATCTTAAAAGTAATTTGTATGTTTTTTTTACTTAGATATGTGTTCCCGCCAATTTCGAACAACCTCATTGGATCAAAAAATCAAAATCAATGAAAAGAAATATGCAATCAAGACAGAGATTTACCATACAGAGTGTTTCAGAATATGTAATGGAGGTAAACTATTCAACTTTATTTTATAGTAATTTTAAGTTTTAAATAATCGCGGGTATCAAAGAATATGTGTAGGTATTTATATTAATTTTATCAATAAAATTCTCAATGTCAGAAGAACAAAATAAAGTATTTTACTTTTATTGCCTTAAGGAGATTCAGGCTCTTAAACTAAATGCATAAATAGCGATAGGTACCAACTTGCAAAACAAAATATACTTTGACATTTTATTTTATTTAGTTTAAAAAAAAACAGACAATTTTTAATTACTTTTTATTTTAATACTAAAAGCACTATATACATAAATATTGTAACACAGCAAAGTGAATTAAAAAACGTCAAAAATAGGATTCAAACGCAACAACATTGCGAGTTGTTGATAGTTGGTTTCTATGGTAACGCTTTTCGCTTTTGACAGTAGCAGTGACATTTCTATATGCAGTGACATTTCTATATGCAGTGATTTAAAAAGTAAATTTTTATGTTCTGAAGAAAAAAGGTATTGGGACCAAAGAAAAAATTAATAACTTATAATAAATAACAATACAATAATTGTGTTTTTTTTTAAATAATTTTCTTAAAAAACGAATTTATGGTAGTCACCAAATATCCCTAGATAATCCAGTGTTGCCGGATCTTCCAGACGAAAATGACCGATTGATAATTTTGGTTGGACACTGTCAACATTATCGTTTATTATTGCAAAACTGTGAGGTAAAAGTTAACAAAAATTTATATGGAACTTCTACATGCATAAGTGCATACGAGATAATAAATTCGCTTTAGAAGATTTGCATTAATTAAAGACATATCTTATCTTTTTCTCGTATACACTTATACCTGTAGAATTGGCATATAAATTTTTGTCAACATTCACAACACAGTTTAGCAATAATAAACGATAACATCCCGTGTAAATGTCTTTTAATTAGACTTTTCTACAACCTAGAATTTTTTCAACATTTTCTCATAGCAACTATAATTTTATCAAAAATAAACACGCTTTGAGAACATTATTGCGTTCTTTCTTTAGGTTGCTTGGTATGGGAATTCAGCGGTCAACATGGCCGAGCTGAGTACGGAGGAGATAAAAAAACTGAAAGTTTTGGAACACCCCAGCGACACCTGTCTGGAGTTGAACGACCGAAAGCTGCTCAAACTTTCCTCCAGCGACGTTTTGCTCAAGAAAAAAGATTGGACGAAAAAGTTATCGCTCACCTACAGGCCGGAGGTGCCGAAAGTCAGGCACATCGTCAACTGTAACACCAAAATGCAAGACAAAATGTATTTATACGCTTTTTTTTTTGTTTTTAATTCGTCTCATTTGACATTTGGTTTATTAACTTTAAAGATTTTTTTCATTTTCAAATATAATTATTACCTTGACATTTTATGTCTCTGTATAAAACGTTTGGTATGGTTTTTTTTGTAAAATCTTACTTATTTGTCACTTTTGAAGGATATTTGACAATTTTTATATTCTAATTAGTATATAAGTGTTTAACACAGCTGAGTAGATTAATGAAGCTACAAAATTTTGTAAACTTCCTTAAAATAGACAAGAATTATTCATGTTAAGGCACTGAAAATTGTCAAATTTTATTTATTTGATTACAAAAAATATGGGGCATTCCATACCAAATGAACCACTTTTGACCCGACCCCTTTTGATTTGACTAAGTCTCTTTTATCTTTTTCTACCCTATCAAAAACATTTTAAGAATTTTTTCAAATTTTTTTACCCAACCAAAAAAGTTTTATTTTTCAATATCACAACTTTTTCAAAAAATTGACGGTTTTTTTTAAATACCTTATTTATAAAGTCCATTTTCGAAAAATATAGAAAACAATTATTCGGACCGATCGTAAACGTTTTTTTTTTAATATTCGGAAAAAGCGAACATTTCTAAACTATTGTTATTTAAATTTTTTTCTATTTTTTATTAGAAACTGACATTTTCTGCAATTTCTCTAAATTTTCAGTGGCCTTTTTTTTATTTTCAATTTTTTTTTCAATTGAATTTTACCCTTGAGGATATAGAGAGAAAGTCATTTAAAAAAATGATGAATGAAATTGAGTGGTAATCATAAAAAAAATTTCAATGTTTTTCAAATATCTAAAACTTTTTTAAAAATTTACGTTTTTTTCAAATATTTTGTTTTTATATGTGCTGATTGTTATTTTGATTTTTTTTATTAGAAACTGGCATTTTCTGCAAATTCTCTGAAATTTTGAGTTTTTTTTATATTTTTTTAAAATTACATTTAAAAGCAAAATTAATGAAAAAAAAATGTTTCAGGTTTTTTTGTTTAATTGCTAAAAAAATAGTTTATTATATAAATTTATATCTATTGTATATAAAATAATTTTTAAGTTTTCAAATGCAGTTTAAAAAAATATATAAAACAATTATTCAAACATCTCTATTTTTTTATTACTTTTTCAAATTTTTTGTTTTTATATGTACTTTAAGTAATAATAATATTCGAATAATATAGAAAACAATTGTTTGGGCCTATCTTCAAGGTTTTTTTTGTAAATTTTTAGAAAAAATCAAAAATTTCTCAATTGATGTTTCTTTGATTTTTTTTTCCTTTTTTTTATTAGAAACTGACATTTTCTGAAAATTTTTAGAAATTTTGAGTGGCGTTTCTTCATTTTTTATTTTTTTTTCAATTGAATTTTACTCAAAAAATTTCAATGTTTTTCGAAAAAGTAAGAAAAAATTAGAAAAATAGTTTTTGATATTTTTTTAGAATTACATTTAAAAGCAAAGATAATGAAAAAAAAAATGTTTCATGTTTTTTTGTTTAATTGCTTCAAAAATAGTTTATTAAATAAATTTATATCTATTGTATGTACCTATGTATGTATATAAAATAATTTTTTTTTAAATTGCAGTTTTCAAAAAATATATAAAACAATTATTCAACCATCTCTATTTATTTATTACTTTTTCAAAAAACATTGAAATATCATCTTTTTTAAACTTGGACTCTCTGCATTTTTAAAAATTGGAAAAAATAGAAAAAACACCACTGATTTTTTTTAAGTTTCTAATAAAAAAGAAGAAAAAACTAAACTTGTCAATCATCGTTTTTTTTTTAATTAAAAAAAGTCCGTTTTTAAAAAATAAAGCCATTTTTTTGAAAAATTCATAACTTTTTTAGATTAGGTAAGAAAATCTAAGAACTAATTAGGTAAGCAAACATTTTTAGAAATAGTTTACCCAAATTAACATAAAAAAGTTGTTGGCCAGTGTTATTGAGGTTTGACTTTCTTTATATTATAATTAATATATTTTTCTTGTCTAAAAATCGTAATTTTTTACATTTTTCTTCCATTTTTGTTAATTCCAAAATGTTAGTATTTTTAGTAACATTTAGTTCCAAATGTCATTTGACCAAGAAATCAGTAAAATGCCGCTCAATGTTTTAGTCTTTCGAAATCATTTTTCGGCAATTTCGTCACGTTTATTTCGTGCCTTCAGGGCGGCCAAAATGCCGAGAATTCGTCTTTATTCTTGCGTGGAAACGGGCGAACCCGAAGAGGACTGGTGGACGGAGGAGGGCGAAGTTTCCGACGACAATTGCAGCACGTCGTCCAGAAGCCCCTCCAGCAAACAAAACCGTCGCCACTATCCGCCAAAGCCCAGGGAATTGGTGCCTGGAGCGACACTGCCCGTCGAGGTAAGCTCATAGATTAATAACCTTAGACCATACAGTATAGGGAGTGCTATTGCGACTGGATCAGTATTTTATTATTCGTATAATGTTGGCAAAACTGTCAAATTATTAATTAATTATTATTATAAATGAGGCATGTCAGAGCAAAGTCAACAATCTCCCGTCAGACTAAAACTGAGTAAATTGAGATAATTGATTTTGGTATTTTAAATTCTAGATTTGTATTTTTTTTTATATATTATATAATAACAACAATATTGTTGTTGTTAGTCTAGTAGCCAACTACAAGGTCTCCAGGATGCATAGTAGGTATAGGTGAAATCTATAATTATAAATTGGAGATTGCTGACTTTGATATGAATTGCTGGGGATTGCTCATTTTGTTGTAAACGTTTAAGGAGATTTAGAAAAATACACAAAAAAATAATTGTATTTTTCTCTCTTTAATGGTTATAAAATTTAACTATACAATCAATGTGGAAAAATTCTGAACTGGGCCACATAAATCTGGAGTTTCTTCTAAATCTGGGACCAGGTTGCCTCGTGGGAAATTTTTTTTATAGTACAACAACTCATCATCTCCTTCCCACTTTGCCCCGTAATGTTTTACATGCAATGTTTTACATTATCAGCCTTTTTTGCTTTACCTTTTCGTCTTATTATGGTATAATAGCACAAAATAAACAAGATAACTTTTTTTTATAATTCTTAAAACAATAAAACGTATAGAGTAAGATCCCAGGGCCGCCAGACCTACGTCATTTTAATACTGCTGAGATTTTTTTAATAAATGTTCTAATATGTAGTTAAAAACGTATGGGTACTTGCAAGCTTGACAGCGGGGCCCTTTTACAGATAACGGGCACTAAAGGTACATAAAAAAGGTACCTGTCTACGTTAAAGTAATACCGCTGGTTTTCATATATGTTTTACACATTGTTATTAAAAACCAACATTCATTATTGCCAGACGCATTCCAGGGGACCTAACTTCCGCCAGACGCTTTAAAGCTCAAGAAAAAAGGGCTGAACCTACGTTATAGTAGTACTCCTGAATTTTACATATATTTTTTGAGTGATTATTTTAAGACCTTTTGTAAGCAGCCAGACCAATCCGAGGGGCCCAAGCCCCACCCAGACGCTTTAAAGGTCAAGGAAAAAGGGGGGAATCTACGTTATAGTAGTACTCCTAAATTTTACATATTTTATTTGGTTGACTATTTTAAGACCTTTTTTAAGCAGCCAGACCAATCCGAGGGGCCCAAGCCCCCCAGACGCTTTAAAGGTCAAGAAAAAAGGGGGGAACCTACGTTATAGTAGTACTTCTGAATTTTACATATTTTATTTGGTTGGCTATTTTAAGACCTTTTATAAGCAGCCAGACCAATCCGAGGGGCCCAAGCCCCCCCAGACGCTTTAAAGGTCCAGGAAAAATGGGGAAACCTACGTTATAGTAGTACTCCTGCATTTTACATATTTTATTTGGGTGACTATTTTAAGACCTTTTGTAAGCAGCCAGACCAATCCGAGGGGCCCAAGCCCCCCCCAGACGCTTTAAAGGTCAAGAAAAAATGGGGGAACCTTCGTTATAGTAGTACTCCTAAATTTTATATATACTATTTAATTGGCTATTTTAAGATCTTTTGTAAGCAGCCAGACCAATCCAAGGGCCTACGCCCCCCCAGACGCTTTAAAGCTCGAGAAAAAATAGAGGAACCTACGTTATAGTACTAATCCTAAATTTAACTTTTATTATTTGGGTGACTATTTTAAGACTTTTTATAAGCAACCAGACCAATCCGACGGGCCCAAGCCCCCCCAGACGTTTTAAAGGTCAAGAAAAAATGGGGGAACCTACGTTTTTGTAGTTCTCCTGAATTTTACATATTTTATTTTGTTGACTATTTTAAGACCTTTTATAAGCAGTCAGACTCATCCAAGGGGCCCAAGCCCCCCCAGACGCTTTAAAGGTCAAGGAAAAAGGGGGGAACCTACGTTATAGTAGTACTCACAGCGTACCTTTTATCGTGTCTGGGCGTGGTTAGGCCCTTTGGAATGGTCTGGGTAGTTACAAAAAGTCTTAAAATATATAATAATAAATATTAATAATAATATATAAAATATTCAGGGGGCTTAGGCCCTTCGGATTGGTCTGGCTGCTTACAAAAGATCATAAAATAGTCCCTCAAATATTATATGTAAAATTTAGAAGTTTTACTATAACGTAGGTTCTCCCATTTTTTCTTGGCCTTCAAACCGCCAGGGTGGGGGGGCTTGGGACCTTCGGATTGGTCTGGCTGCTTATAAAAGGTGTTAATATAATCACCCAAATAAAATATGTAAAACTCAAAAGTACTACTATAACGTAGATTTTTTCATTTTTTATTGAGCTTTAAAGCGTCTGGGGGGGGCTTAGGCCCTTCGGATTGGTCTGGCTGCTTACAAAAGATCAGAAAATAGTCACTCAAATAATATATATAAAATTCAGGAGTACTACTATAACGTAGGTTCCCCCCTTTTTCCTTGACCTTTAAAGCGTCTGGGGGGAGCTTGGGCCCCTCGGGTTGGTCTGGCTGCTTATAAAAGGTCTTAAAATAGTCAACCAAATAAAATATGTAAAATTCAGGAGTACTACTATAACGTAGGTTCCCCCCTTTTTTCTTGACCTTTAAAGCGTCTGGGGGGGGTTTGGGCCCCTCGGATTGGTCTGGCTGCTTACAAAAGGTCTTAAAATAATCACTCAAAAAATATATGTAAAATTCAGGAGTACTACTATAACGTAGGTTCAGCCCTTTTTTCTTGAGCTTTAAAGCGTCTGGCGGAAGTTAGGTCCCCTGGAATGCGTCTGGCAATAATGAATGTTGGTTTTTAATAACAATGTGTAAAACATATATGAAAACCAGCGGTATTACTTTAACGTAGACAGGTACCTTTTTTATGTACCTTTAGTGCCCGTTATCTGTAAAAGGGCCCCGCTTTCAAGCTTGCAAGTACCCATACGTTTTTAACTACATATTAGAACATTTATTAAAAAATCTCAGCAGTATTAAAATGACGTAGGTCTGGTATATATACCTATTTTAAATATATTTTTAAGTGCCATTTACTGCAATAGAACTTAACAGTATGTACCAGTAAAAAAACACAAAATTAAATCTCTAAAATACGTTATAACATCAAATGTTAGGATATCAGGTGACACAAATTACCAATTTCTAATGGTGGAATTGGAGATTGTATACTTTGCTGCAAATCTATCAGTGGAGATTGTCGACTTTGCACTAAATTTCATTTTTAAAAGAGGATTTTAGGCAGGATTTAGCTCCTTTTGCGGGACATAAACTTTATCATCTTATAGATAATTAGTTGAAGTACAGTAAAATCTAATTTTTGACCAAAAGTGGAGATTGTCGGTTTTGCTATGACAGGCCTCAATTACTATTATTAATTTGTATTATAAATAAAGGGTGCACCAAGTATACTTTTTTTGCGACTCACCCCTGTAAAATCTTTATTTATTGTGCGATGTTAACCGGATTTGTTTTAAAGTATAGATCTTGATAAACTGTATTTTTGGATCAAAAATTATGTCAGTTTTTGAGAGTAAGTAAATTTTTAAGAATTCATATTAGTTAAATATTAAAAATTTACCACCCCTCGGCTAGTAGCGCCACCACTCGGCTGTTATCATCATAACAAAAGTAAAACTTAATAATCAGCTGTCACACGTTTATGTTACAAACGAGTGTTTTTGAGAATAAAGCCGGAAAATGTTAAAAAATATCGAAAAAAAAACCGTGCCTCGATTTGTTGTGTTGTTGGGTGTATTTCGAGGGGAAATCCTGGGTTGAGTTTTTACCGGTTTTCCAATAAACAGTGTTAATATGAATGAAGAAATAAATTGCATACAGTCTCTGTAAATATAAATTGTACCTATTAGATACAATAAATACACATTTTAGTTATGATTAACGTGAAAAGTGTAAACATTTCAATTCAGTAAAAATCTTCAAACAAATAAGTCGTCTAAATTTAAACAGCATTTAGCATTATTAAAAGCGTTGATTAAGAAAGTCTCCACTCAACGGTAAAATACCATTATATTATGTATATAATATTATGTTGCCATGAGTTCCTAGGTATATTTTGTTGTTTAAAATGCAGTTGTCGGCGTTTTTAGACAACTCAAATTTAAAAATGGTTGATTTTAAGGTTATGTTTGTGCAAAAATTATTTTTTACTAATTTCTTAAAAATGTCCAAACTTAAATATAAATTATATTAGGTAAAGTTATCATTAGTTAATTCTGCACCAACAAATGTACTTACCGAATTGGATCCTTTGGCAAAACATGAAAATGCAACGATTTAGTTCTTGAATTTTATTTACAATTAAAAACACAATAATTCACCATGATCCCTCCCTATTAAAAATGCCATATAGAAACACAAAATAAAAATCTATATGGTTCTATCTGGTTCAATATAGGAATTTGAAACAGGCATTGCACTATTGAACCAGATAGATCTCCATACCTGGAAAACCATATAGAAAAGTGATTTCTATATGGATTGCCATATAGGTTCATATTGCTCTATCTGGTCCAATATGGTTTGGGTGTGAAAAAAATTATTACCATATAGATCCATATTTTACCATATAGGGGAATCTATATGGTTTAATATGCAATTTTCGTTTAAATATATATACATTTTAAAATGGAATTCCATATTCAACCATATAGGGAAACCTATATGGAAAGACACATAAAACAGAAACCAGATAAATCCATATAAAAATCCCTAAGTTGTACATTTTAAAATGAAATTCCATATTAAACCATATAGATTCCAAAGTGTAAACCAGGTCGTTCCATATAGGACATATAGAACCATATAAATCCATATTAGTTTCCTTATCTGGATCAATATGGGTTCTATAGGGCATTTTTAATAGGGCTTAGATAAAATACACACACTAACGTAACTATATAGGCATTTAAGCGTTGAGTTTGTTTGTTTGTCAATGATATAAGGAATAATCAATCCAAATCGAGTACTAAAAAAGTTTTTTTAATTTTTTCCTTGCAACGTAAAACACAAATAACGTGCGCGATTTAGCTGTGCAATTGAACAAAATTTGTCGAGTAAGACTTCTGCCTTCCTCTCTTTTGTGAAAAAACTACCTATTTATTTAAACATGACGTATAATCTGTGCTTTAAATGTATTGTTGACAATTCTTAAATTCACGCAATGCTATAGTTCACCAGATGCCGCGCGCGTTGTGAAAAGCGTATACATATTCTTATGCTTAGTTTTGACAAATAAAAACGTAGAAGAAACTGAAAACAACAATAAAACAATAAAAAGAGAACTCATAAAATTATCTACAATTAGATTTTCGTCACCTCTACTGCACAAGAACTACGGTCTAGGGTAATACAAGCCTGCGCAGCCATTACTACACAATAAATATGAAACTGTATTGAAATAAATTTAGTTTTATCGCATAATTTCGGTCTCAGTTTTTAAGTACACTGCGCGTCAAAATTAACGCATAACAAGTAAAAAAAATTCAACTCTAAAACGCCTTTACCAATCTTTATAAAATTTTGGATAAAAATATTTTAACTTATATCTCAGTTTACGTGTTCAAGGGTTTTTCGAGTAAATATCCTTTAAAAAAACTTTTATATGGAATTTTTTTTTAAGTAAATAAAAAATATCCTGTAAAAGACCGTATTTTTGTTAGTAAACCCTGTAAATGTTGTACAAATCAAACGAACAGTAACGAAAATACAGCGCTTCAAAGACGTCAAAATTTTTCAGCAAAATAATCAAAAAGGGGTAATTTTTACCGACTTTGAAGCGCTGTATTTTTGTTACTGTTCGTTTGAATTGTACAAAACTTTTAGGGTTTACTAAAAAATACACCATATTTTTAATTTACTTAAAAAAATTCTCTAAAAGTTATTTTTAGAACGTTTTTTTTATTATTTAATTAAAGGTCTTTAAAAATATTTTTTTGAAAAACTCTCGAACACGTAAATTGAGATATAAGTTGAAATATTTTCATACAAAATTTCATAAAGATTGGTAAAGGCGTTTTAGAGTTGACGGGCAGTATATTATTTTTATCCATTTCTCAGGTTATTTGCGTTGAATCCAAAGTGACAGTCTTATGGCAGGACGGTACCGAGGAAAAAGACATCCCCTCCACTCAGTTGTACTATTCGATTTCGCTGGACGATCACGAATTTTTCCCCGGCGAAGTGGTCGTTCCCGACAACGGGAAAGAGGACAAGGAAGAAAAGGATTCGGAAAAATACGGAGTCGTCCAACGCGTCAACTATCTCGAAAGAACTGCCACGGTAAGTTGACATTTTAAGTTCAAAACGACCACTGACTTGGCGTGTTTTGCTGCAGATAAAATGGTTCACTTACTCGGAAGCCTTAAAGAAACCCATCCAGAAATCAATGACCGAAATGAGCGTGTACGATTTGAAGAAACACAGCAAATTCGTCTTCAGACCTGGCATCGTTGTAAAATCCAAGCCCACCGAAAGCGAGAAAATTGGTACAGTTATTGATAGTTGCATTGAAGTAAGTGACAAACTACTTTTAATGGGAATTTAAAATTTTGAGGGGTGTTTTAAGGCATGATGTTACGTTATATGTATGTCATTTAACATTTGACTAGGTTATATTTGAGGCACTCCACCGAATTGACCACTTTTGACCCTGACCCCCTAATTTGGCTGAAACTTTTTTTATCTTTTTCTACACTATCAAAAACATTTATTTTTATATGTACTATAGAAAAAAAATATTCAGATCGATTTTCAAGGTTTTTTTTTAATTTTCGGAAAAATGAAAATTTCTCTATGATTGACATTTTCTGCAAATTCTCTGAAATTTTTTAATCAGCTTATTTCTCACAGTTTAAAAAAAAATAAATTTCAATTTTTTACATATATTTTTTCAAAATTACGTTTAAAAACAAAGGTTTTAAAAAATTTAAGTGGTTAATTTGTGATGGAATTTGTTTCATGTTTTTTTTCAACACTTCGCTTTTTTAATTGCTTAAAAAACATGGTTTATTAAATAATTTTATTTATTGTATTTTTATCTACTGTATACAGGGTGTCCCATAATTAGTGCGACAAAATGAAGGTGTATTATCTACAGAAAATTTTTTTAAAAATTCTTCCTTTATTATTTAAAAAGATACAGGGGAGTCATATTTTCTTTATATGGCCACATTGCCTCAAAAAAAGGGGAGAGTTTAATTCTTAATCATCATGTTAACATTGTTGTTTGTTGTCATGATGATTAAAAATTAAACTATTACTTTGTTATGAGGCGATGTTGCCATACAAAGAAAACATGACTACCCTGTATCTTTTTAAATAATGAAGGAAAAATTTTTTAAACAATTTTCTGGAATTCCTGGGGGTCTGTAGATAATACACCTTCATTTTGTCGCACTAATTGTGGGACACCCTGTATAAAATCATTTTTTATTTTCTTTGTTTTTAAATGTAGTTTTAAATAAATATATATTATGAGAAAATGTATCTAATAAAAAAATTAAAATAAAATAAAATTGACAATTATTGAGATATTGTTTTCAATATTTTTTTGAAAAAATTGTACATATTTATTAAATAAAGAGCCATATTTTTGAAATATTTTAAAAACTCTGAAAAATGTTTTGGTAAAGTAGAAAAAGATAAAACAGTTTTAGCCAAATTGAAAGGGGTTGGAGTCAAAAGTGATTTATAATATAATATATTTTAATAGTCAAACTTTATCGGATTTTACATTTTTAATTTAATTTATTTAACTGAAAATTTTAATTTTAATACTATTATTTGATAAAATTTAAGATGCCATTATCAAATTCTAAATTTTTTTTAGTGTAAGGTATTATAACATTTTATAAGGAGTGAGACTTTAAAATTTTGAATATTAAATTTTTTTTTTCAAAATTTTTGTAATAATTATTTTATAACAATTAAGAAAATTTTAAATATTCGAAATTTTTTAGATTTAAAAAATTGTTAAACCTCCAAAATTTTAAAAATATTTCATATTTTTTTAAAATTCCGAAATTTTTAAGAATTTTGGAAACCTAAAATATAAAAAAAATTAAATTTTTTGGTAAAATTTAAAAATTTGAAAAGATGCAAAAAATTTAAAATTTTCAAAAATTTTAGAGGTTTTAATATTTCAAAAATTTTTAATTTATTTACAAGGTGTCCTTGAAATGCATGTACAAAATGATCCTGCATATTCCTGGGACCGAAATAATACGATATAACTAAATTTACTTCTATACAAAAGTCGACAATAAACAAAGTTAAAAGTTCGTTTTCAATTTTATTACATAACTTTAGAAAAAACTAACGTTTTTGCACAAAATTTACTTTTTGGGTGTTTTTCGGGGCTGGAAAATTGAATTTCTTAAAAAAACTAATTTAGGTTGTAAGGTGCGCTGTCTGCGCCACTGCATACTAAATGGCCACATCTTATTTGCTCCTTGTGTATTTACGATTTTCATAAAAATATTTTTTTTTCTTATAACTTAAAAAAGGAAAACTTTCTAAATGTCGCACAAAAACACAAACAAAACAAGTTAACGCAACAGAAAAACAATAAGTTAAGCACAGACAGAACAGGTTAACACAACGCAATAACAATATTTTAAACACTGAAAAGTAATTTGAACCTTATCGAACGCAAAAACAACAATTTTAACAAAGGCAGCAAGTTAACGACTAAAAACAAGGCAAAAACCCAAAGCACCATCCTATCTCAAGGTGTATGTATCTTGGAAAAAATTAATATTTTTATTAAAATGTGAATACACTAAGGCGCAAAAAAGATGTCGCAGACTGCGTCATCTACATCCTACATTAATTTATGTAATACATTTTATGCAAAAACGATTGTATTTTAACTTTAAGGTAGTTGTCATTGTACAATATTTTCAAATTTTTTTAGTTTATACGCACCGTAAAAGTATACGAGCTTGTAGCTAAGTGATTCATAATTTTTTCGCAAGACTGTACCCTGGAGACGTTACCTTTACGTAATACTTTAAAATATTTTCATATTTTTGATCCGGCAACGTCGCTTATGCTCAACCAATAGATATATTGGAGACTGATTCAGTCTGTTTGAATTTACTGCGGAAAAGCACCTATCTATATATCTATACTCGCGTACAGCGTTGCCTAGTTATCTGACACTAGTGATGTATACTTTTCACAAATTATTGAACTTTAAACGGTTATTTATAAACAATTGGACGGTCAAAAAATTTTTGAAAGCTTCTGACAGTTAGTTTTTTTTATAACTAAGAAACTGGTACAGAACTACAGAAAGCGTATACAATCCAGGTTAATTATCCAATTTTTAATTGAATTTATATCGGGTTATAGACGGTCAATCGACTTCAAATTTTAAGGATAATTGTATTGTTAATAAGTATACAAAAATTTTTGATGGTATGCTTACAGCACGACAACTACCTTAAAATCCTTGGTTATTATCATCTTTTTTGTAAAGGGAAATATAATTACATTGCAGTATTTTCTTCGCCTCAAAAAACCTGAAAAAGAACAACAAAACGTGCGGTTTTTTTCACGTAAAATCTCTATTAAAGGGTCACGTGAAAGTGCAGTGGCTGGACAAATCGACGGGAAACTGCTGGCCGCAGGAGATCGAGCAGATTCCCGACTCGGTCGACTACGAGTACTCCGATTCGGAAACGAGCGACGAGGAACGCATGGGCGGCGAATCGTGGGAGACGGAGAGCATCGAAAGCTACGCCGGCGACGTCACGGACGAGACCGCCCTGCAAAACATGGCGGCGCGCTTGGACTTCGTTCGCAGCCGCATCGTGTACCTCAGGGAGGCCTTCAAGCAGCACACCATCACCGAAAATTTCACGGTAAGTTTTTGGACCTTCTAAATTTAATTTTTAGGGATTTTGACAGGTTTATTGTTTTATCTTTTTATTCTAAATGTAATTTTAGAAAGCTTATCTATCGTTTTGTATTTTGAATTCTAATTTTAAAAAATTTAAAACTGCTGTCTAGAAAATTTCTGGGTTTGAATTTTTTTTTTTTACTTTAAAAATTTAAAATAAGAATACATTTTCACAACATAACTTTTAATTTATTATTATATTAATTTTATTAATGATTTTTTAATATTAGAAATTCTTAATTGTGGACAATTAACTGGTAATTTGACATCCTAGATGACACTAACCTTTATTTTGATTTGAATTTTGAAAATATTAAATATTCAAAATATAAAATCTAAAATTTCAAAAATTTTGAATATTAAAATTTTTGTAATTTAAAAAAAAAATAGAAAATCTAAAATTTTGGAGATTTGATAAATAATTTACAATCACAATTATTACAATTATTGTGAAAATTTTAAAATATGTTGAAATTTTTAAATACAGGGTGTTATGTAATTAATGTTATATATTAAAATACTGAATACCTTTTGACATAAGAAGTAAAGGAAAAATATTTAAAAAAATACTTTTCCAAAGATAAAGAAAAAATGTGCATTAGAAGTTTTTTATATTTATGGTGATACGCCACTGGGTTATCTCTGCACACTTGTGTTCTGTGAGTACATAGATACCAACCAACAAAGTAGCTGCGCGTTGCAAAAAATAAATAAAAACTCAATAAATACACAAGTTTTATACCCTTCTGTATTTATTTACTCATCCAGCTATTAGCTTAAGCAATGGTTAGAAAATTAAGTACCTATTTTAAAAAATCCATAACCACAAAGTTAGTTTTTTCCACGGTTTTTTTTCTTTCTGTTTAATCAGATGAAATTGGGACCAGCTCACAGGTTAAACTTTAAACATTTAATTTGTGTAAATAAATCCCTTAGTTAAGATATTTACACCCAGCAAACACACTATTCCGGCCATGCAAGGGCACATTAATGTGCCATTGCATGGCCGGACTAGTGTGTTTGCTGGGCAATTTGAACACATAACCTAAAATTTGAAAAAAATGCACTAGTTTCTGTCATAGAATTTGTCAGATTTTGTTTGAATTTACCTTCAGTACAAAAATGACATAACCAACAATTAATAAAAACGCCAAATTGGCAATTTGCATTGTTGATTTTGTAATTTTTGTAATTAAGCTAAATTTAAACAATGCTTGGCAACTTCTTTGACAGAATTTGAAACGCTGTTGTTACCAACCATAACATAATAAATTAAATTAGGCAACCAGATTAGCCTAAAGTTCCTAGTCGATCAGTGGCGTACTGGTAGGATAAAGGTTATTATAAATTATTTTTAGTCTTTGGAATTTAGAAAAAAAAAGTTTCAGGTGCTTCTTTATGGACCCTAAGGAACAACCCATTTTAATATATAACATTAATTACATAACACCCTGTATACAGTTGATAATTTAGTGGACAATTTATTTTATAACTCACTTGTTAATTTAATGCATAATTTAATGCATAATACATAACTTTAAAATCCGGTTTATATAATTCATTAATTTAATATACAGTGTGTCCACAGATTGACTTAACTATACTTGTAAAAATATTTATTTTCAATTTTTCGAGGAAAAGTCATTTTTCATAATTTCTTTTGCTTGCTATATAAACACGATTTGCGTTGAAAAACATCCATTTTGTTCTATAGGGTCAGCAAAAATACAGATTTTCAAAATTAAAAATAGATCATTCATAATTTATTTCATAAAAGTTAAATTTTATGAACTTTCAAGGTTATTCAATAAATACTAAATTGTGGGTTAGGGATTAAATCGTTGTATAAACTGTTTCATAGCAGATAGTACGATTTAACTTTTATGCTTATGCACTAAATTGTGAATTATGAAATAAATTAATGATATGAGTTTTTTAAATTTTGAAATTTTTGAGAATAGTGGAAATAGTTGAAATTATTGGATGTCATGTATAAGAAATTCAAATTTTAAATCATAACTTTGTTATTTTTACCAAATTTTAACATTTTATTTTTAAAAGTCTTTAGAGAATTGTTTATTTATTTTAACAAATTATTAAAGGTTCCTTTTGTACCACCCTGTATACAGTGAGTTCCCTAATTCATGGCTAATACTGAATGGGCTCAATCATTCATATACTTTTTTTTGAGATATAGGGTGTTCAAAGTTGAAAAAATATCATTGATTAACTTAAAAAAGTCGCACCCTGTTTGAGACGCCCCTGGATAAAATTTCAAATTTATTTTTTTTACAGTAAGTTTGGTATGAAATGATAGGTATAGCAAATTTCACTCTTTTATACTTCCAGGTTTTGAACATATCTAGAAAAAAACATTTTCAGGGACGGACTTTTAAGGGGCTCTAGCTCACTTAGAAGTCGTTTCTCGGACTATACCAATTTATAAAATATTTTAATATCCTTTTATTTTCGTTTAAATGTAATTTTTGTAATTATACGTTAAAGAAGCATCGCCAGTAGCGCCACCAAGTGGTCGTTTTTACTTGCAACGCGAAACACAAATAACGTGCTAATTAGATGTGCAATTAAACCAAATTTGTCTCTCTTTTGTGAAAAAACTACTTATTTACATAAAAATGATGTGCAGTTTGTACGCTTTAAATGTATTGTTGACAAACTTTGTAGTTCAATAGTGCTATCGAACTCCGCCAGATGGCGCGCGCGTTGCGAAATTCCCATGCTTCTTTAGCGAATACGACTAACTTACATTTGTTGTTTGTTGTTTTAGTTCCTCAAAGATTTACTATTAGTTTACGACAACTCTAGTTACCTGGACAAACTGCTGGGCACCTCTTTTTTTAGCTTAAAAAGCCGCCATTTTCAGGTGGGTTTTTCATTTTTTTTTGCATTATTTCCCTATTAAACTGAACGTTGCAATTTGCCAGACTCTTTTGATGCAAGCCAAAGAAAAAGCAAAGACGCTGGGCGTCGAGCTGCGGGGACGCATCTTCTCCAGCGACGCCACATCTTGCCCGCCAATCAATCGAAGCCATTTTAAGGTTGCGGAAAAGGAGAACATATCCAAAATGATCAAGCTGGAGAACAAAATACAGGCCGAGATCGAAAAGAAGGAATCTCCCAAAGAAACGCCAAGTGAGTACATGAAAATAAAGCCATTTTGTTGAGTTTCTTTTTCTCAATAAATATTATTATTATTATAGTATAGCTAGATAATCAGTTTTTTAACCAATTTACTTAAAAAATCCCTATTATACAGAGAGGTTAAAAATTAACCAAACATGAAAATTGTTAAAATTAATATGTTTTAAGCTGGGTTTATACAATATTTGATAATTTAGTGAATTTATTTCATAACACAATTCTCAATTTCATGAATTATTTAGTACATAATACGTAACTTTAAAATCTTGTTAATAAAATAATTGAATTAATTATTCATTAATTTAATATATATTTTATTTTTCTCAATTTCATGAATTATTTAGTACATAATACATAACTTTAAAATCTTTTTTATACAACAATTGAATTATTCATTAATTTAATATATATTTTATTTTTTTAAATGACAATATTGATGATTAAAAGTGACAAATAACACAAAATCCTTCATTAAATAAAACTCATGTTTTGTAGTATTTTTTAAGGCACACAAAACACAAAACAATAATTATTAAAAAATGGAGTAAGAAAAATTGTTGGCACACTGTTCAATCTTATTTATAATTCATAATTTATTTCATAAAAGTTAAATTTAATGAACTTTCAAGGTTATTCACTAAATTGTGAATTATGAAATAAATTAGTGATATGAAGTTGTATATATAAACCCGCCATTAAATTTTAAAAAATATTAATGAAATACAGGGTTTTATGTAATTAATGTTGACATAAGGAGTAAAGGAAAAATATTTAAAAAAATAGTTTTCCAAAGATAAAGAAAAAATATGCATTAGAAGTTTTTTATATTTTTTGTGATACGCCACTGGTTAAACACTTGGTTTATCTCTGCACACTTGTGTTCTGTGAGTACACAGATACCAACCAACAAAGTAGCTGCGCGTTGCCAGATGTAAAAAATTGTTACTTAACATTTTTCTTGCAAAAAATTAATAAAAACTCAATAAATGCAAAAGTTGCATGCCCTTAAAGCTCTAATACCCTTCTGTATTTATTTACTCATCCAGCTATTAGCTTAAGCAATGATTAGAAAATTTAGTACCTATTTTAAAAAATCCATGACCACAAAATTAATTTTTTCTACGGTTTTTTTCTTTGTTTACTCAGATGAAATTGAGACCAGGTTAAACTTTAAACATTTAATTTGTGTAAATAAATCCAAAAGCACTAGATTCTGTCATAAAAGTTGGCATTTGTTTGAATTTACCTTCTGTGTGTGTATTCTGTGCATACAGTACAAAAATAATGACAATTAATAAAAACGCCAAATTGACAATTTGCATTGTTGATTTCGTCATTTTTGTAATTAAGCTTAATTTAAACAATGCTTGGCAACTTTTTTGACAGAATTTGGAAACGCTGTTGTTACCAACCATAACATAATAAATTAAATTAGGCAACCAGATTAGCCTAAAGTTCCTAGTCGATCAGTGGCGTACTTTTTGGTAGGATAAAGGTTATTATAAATTATTTTTAGTCTGTAATTTAGAAAAAAAGTTTCAGGTGCTTCTTTATGGACCCATTTTAATATATAACATTAATTACATAACACCCTGTATTTTAGTTATCATTATCAATAAATTAAAATTTTATTTCATTTATTTTTTATTTTCTATAAATTAGTACCCTTTTTTAGTTTTTTTATGAAAATACAAATAATAAAGTTTCTAAAGTATTAATAAAAATCTTTAAATTTGTTTTTTATTTATAAATTGCTGGGTCCACCTGAATTTATGTTGATCCAGCAAAAATCCAGCTGGATTAGAAACCCTGCTGGAATGCAATCCCTAATCATAATATGATAATATGACATGATGTATTGACAATACTAAGGTATAACTAGATAAAAACAAACACTGTTTTTTGAGTTTTACGAATTTTTTATTATTTTTTTTAACAAATTTAAGTTATTACATTATACTTCGACACGTAAAATTATCATACAGTAATAAAATTTGTTTAAAAAAAATAATAAAAAACATTACCTGGAATAACTTGTTTGTTATTAGATAAATTTTGAAATTATTTCTGAAGAAGCTACTGTGTTAGCGAAACAATTGTCAAAATAAAATTGAAATAAATTCGTGAAACTTAAAAAACAGTGTTTGTTTTTATCTAGTTATACATTAGTGACATGGAGTTTCATCAAGTAAAGGTCGAAACAATAAAATAAATGGACAATAGACTGGGCCAAAAAAATCAACTATTTTTTTTTTGAAAAGTATATCTAAAATATGGTTTGGGGTGATAAAAAAAATTATTCTGAAAGTTTGATTCCATAATATTATTAAGAAGTCTATCATCGCAATTTTAATTTTTTTTTCCTCAGCATGTTTTAGGCTCAGAACTCCCAAACCATTGAGTTTAACAAAATTGACTTCAAAATATTTTTTTAAGAAAATTAAATGCTCTACAAAAAAGGTTAAAATGAAATTTTCCTTCAGATGAACAGTTTCCTTAAAATCATGCCTTAAAAATTGGTATAGTTTTACATTTTGTAATTCATGTAAAAATCAGTATCCATAAAAATATTCTTATGAAAAATCAAATGCTCTACAAAAAAAGCCTCCTAACATTTTTGGCTAAATTCACTCAATCAAAAGTTATTCAAGTTTAAAATTTCGTTTTTGACTTCAAATTTAACCTTGAATAACTTTTGATGGGGTGAATTTAGCCCAAAATGATAAAAGACTTTTTTGTAGAGCATTTGATTTCCCATAAGAATATTTATCGGTTTTTTATGGGTACTGATTTTTACATGAATAATTATTACAAAATTCCAATTTAAAAGTTCAAAATGTAAAACTATACCAATTTTTAAGGCATGATTTTAAGGAAACGGTTCATCTGACGGGAAATTCCAATCAAACCTTTTTTGTAGAGCATTCAATTTTCTTCAAAAAATATTGTCAATTTTGTTAAACTCAATGGTTTGGGAGTTCTGAGACAAAAACCGCCTGAGGAAAAAAAATTAAAATTGCGATGATAGACCTCTTAATATTAATATTATGGACTCTAACTTTCACAATAATTTTTTTTGTCACCCCAAACCATATTTTCGATATACTTTCAAAAAAAAAAGTTGATTTTTTTTGCCCAGTTTAAGTTATACATTAGTGACGTGGAGTTTCATCAAGTAAAGGTCGAAACAATAATACCGTTGGAATTAAAAACCAGTGATAATTTGAGAATGTTTAAGCTTAAATTAAAAAAATTTTTAACCGAAAAAACATTTTATACCATGTCAGACTTTTTTCTTTTGTAAGTAATTTTAACTAAATGTTGTTTCTTGTATACATTTATTATTCTGTACTATATTTATTTAGATTTTACTATACACGGTGCTGTTCTGAGAGGTGATTTTTGGACTTTCTGTGAAACCTAATTTTTATATTCTTGTTAATTAGGTCATAACTACAATTTTAAGAGCAAAATAAAAAAAATTTGACGGTTAATTTTGTTTTAATTGGATGTTTATTGAAAATATGTATGCACACGTTCAATTCTCCAATTAAAACTTGCGATTTTATTTAAATATTATCATAACTTTTTAAATCAGATTAAAGATTAGTTAATTTCCTAAAAAAAGGTCTATACATTTTTTATATCTTTTACTGTTTTGTTGTAATACACGTTTAAAGTTTTAATTTAAGGTTAAATGTATAGTATACATTTATTAAACAATAATTCTAAGGGTGCCACATTTTATTTAGGGCCGATTTATTCATTTTTGATTTATTTGACGAATAATTTCTTTGGATACTAGATATTGCCAAGACATGAAAGTTATCGGCCCGATAAACTTTACTAAAGATGAATAAACCGGTCTATAGTTAAATTTCATGAATTTCTTCGTAACTTTTACTACAATTTTTCATTTTTGTTTATAAAAAACACTTTAAAAAACTAAACAAAAATTATAGAATACGTATACTGAAAATGACAATTCAAGCGTCAAATAAATTTTTAATAGATCTAAGTTTCATGGCAACTTTTAAGGATATATTAATTAAGGGAACATAAATGTATACGTCAAAGGTTAGATTAAAAGTTTGAACGTTTATTGCAACAAAACAGTAAAATATATAAAAAAAATTGTAAAAACCTTTTTTTTTAGTTATGCAAATATTAAATATTTAAATTAAATCGCTAGTTTTAATTGGATAATTGAAAGAGTGCATAATATTTTTCATAAATAGCAAATTAAAACAATTCAAACCGTAATTTTTTTTATTTTGCTCTTAAAATTTTTGTTATGAGCTAATTAACAAGAATATAAAAAAAATTAGGTTTCACAGAAAGTCCAAAAATCACCGTGTTTTTTGTAGAGCATTCAATTTTCTTGAAAAAATATTTTCGAGTCAATTTTGGGAGTTCCGAGACAAAAACTTGCTGAGGAAAAAAAAATTAAAATTGCGATGATAGACCTCTTAATAATAATTTTAAGGACTCAAACTTTCACAAACCATATTTTCGATATACTTTTCAAAAAAAAAAAAGTTGATTTTTTTGGCCCAGTCTAAGTTATACATTAGTGACGTGGAGTTTCATCAAGTAAAGGTCGAAACAATAAAATAAATAGACGATATTAAACTTGTAGCTGTAACCATCGCGGCAATAGTCGAAAACAGCGACGAAATAACGCAAGAGAACCTGTGCGTCGAGCTGCTGTCCATGCTGAAGATGCGCATGGACCTCGCCTACGCGGAAATAATATCGCGCATAGGCGGCACGCAGGCGCTCACCGTCCTCACCAAGGCCTCGGAGAACGCGTGCGTGCCGACGCCGCTGCCGAGCGTGCCGTCGACGCCCGACGACGCGACCTCCGCCTGCCCGCTCAAGAAGGTCTCCTCGAAGGATTCCGACGTGCAGATCGACGTCGAGGCCGACTTCTGGATGGTGGACGAGGCGCCGGCGCACCACCACTACTTCGCCAACAAGACCGAGCCCACCGACAGGCAGCAGTTCATGAAGGCCATCAACAAGGTGAGCGATTTTTTGTTTCTCGGGGCAGCGATCGCGCCACCTAGTGGCTTTTTTAAACTCTTTTATTTTATCGCTGTGAAGTTGACGCGGTAAAAGGTGTTTTTCAAAACTTTTTGAAATATTCATATACTGCCCCATAAAAAAACGAGAATGCTTTGTAATATTAAATTTTGAAAGTTGAAGAATTTTAAAAATTTAGAAAAAATAGGTGGCGAAAATTATTTTTCTGAAATCGACCACTTCTAATTTGATCCCGTCCCCTTTTGATTTGGCTGAATTTTTCTTTTCAAATACCCATATCCTTTTTAAAAGTTGACGAAATGGGACGGTTTTTTTTTAATGTACCCTAAACACGGGTGGTTTTGGCTCACTTTCAAACTTACGCTTAAAATTTTTGTGGTTTTAACAAGCATAAACATTAAATTTTTATATCAAAATTTGAATCTTGAGTTGCTCTTTCATAATAACTATGTTACAATATTACATAGGGTTGAGTTTCAAAAATAAAAATTAAAAACTGGGTGTGCAAAGTTACCCCTGGTTGCGGGTTACTTTGTCTCACAGTGTATTTTCCGTATAAAATGAATTCAATATTATATTTTATTTTTATTAGACACGTGTTAGCAGCGACATAATATGTCGCAATAGATATATTATATCTATTGCAAGGGATTACCAATTAAAAAAATAAAAAAATCGACCTGTAGTTAACCAAGGATCATCATTCCAATGGATTGCGCATAATATAGAAATTGTAACGCGTATTTCTAAGAGTTTTGCACTGATGCGATATATACAATTTTAAACTGTAATAAATCCCATTTCTTTCTTTAAAACACTGATTTTCCTGTAATATAAACTCAATAGAATCGCTCAATTGACAGGTTTAGACAAACAAATTATAAATGTTAATTTTATCGAGCGCGAAAAGATTTTTCATAAATGGGTTAGTCACCCGCGGTGTACTTTTCAGAAAAAAATACAACAATTTTTTAATGTTTTAGTACAACAAAAATCCAAATAAAATGCAATTTTTAAAAAAAGTTGTCAATTATATATTTTTTTTCATAATCAAATTAAGCACCAAAAAGGCTTTTATAATTATATCATATTTTGCTCGTTTAACCAAAAACGTTAAAAAATTAATAAAATGTTTTTTTCACTGTTGGCAGTTTTTTAATTTCCTACAGCTTGGCGGTATTTTTCGCTACTACAATTTACCTCAGGGCCGGATTAAGACAATTTGTCGCCCTAGGCCAATAATAATGACGCCCATAATTACAGCCCATATTAGTAATATAACAGAATACATGTTAGCCGACAGGGATGCACATAGGGGGACAAGTAGGGTTTTATAAAAAAATGACCATAAAATAAATAAAAAAAAATTATTTTTATATCGAAAAACAAAACAATGAAGAACTAACTTAATTTTTACTATTTTTAAATAACCTAAAACAGAATTTTACCTAAAACATTTCGTCGTTGATAGGTACTGCAAAAGGTCAAACGCCTTTCTGCACATACAGGGTGTTATGTAATTAATGTTATATATTAAAATTGGTTGTTCCTTAGGGTCCATAAAGAAGCACCTGAAGTTTTTTTTTCTAAATTCCAAAGACTAAAAATAGTTTTTAATAACCTTTATCCTACCAAAAAGTACGCCACTGATCGACTAGGAACTTTAGGCTAATCTGGTTGCCTAATTTAATTTATTATGTTATGGTTGGTAACAACAGCGTTTCCAAATTCTCAAAAAAGTTGCCTGGCATTGTTTAAATTTAGCTTAATTACAAAAGGACAAAATCAACAATGCAAATTGTGAATTTGGCGTTTTTATTAATTGTTGGTTATGTCATTTTTGTACTGAATGTAAATTCAAACAAAATCTGCCAACTCTAGTGCATTTTTTTCAAATTTTAGGTTATGTGCTCAAATTGTAAATATCCTAACTAAGGGAAGCGCTTTTGGATTTATTTACACAAATTAAATATTTAAAGTTTAACCTGTGAACTGGTCCCAATTTCATCTGAGTAAACAAAAAAAAACCGTGGAAAAAATTAATTTTCTAATCATTGCTTAAGCTAATAGCTGGATCAGTAAATAAATACAGAAGGGTATTAGAGCTTTAAGGGCATAAAACTTTTGTATTTATTGAGTTTTTATTTATTTTTTGCAAGAAAAATTGTTAGTAACAATTTTTTACATCTGGCAACGCGCATCTACTTTGTTGGTTGGTATCTATGTACTCACAGAACACAAGTGTGCAGAGATAAACCAAGTGTGTAACCAGTGGCGTATCACAAAAAATATAAAAAACTTCTAATGCATATTTTTTTTTTATCTTTGAAAAAATATTTTTTTAAATATTTTTCCTTTACTCCTTATGTCAAAAGGTATTCAGTAATTTAATATATAACATTAATTACATAACACCCTGCATTATGTATCAAGTTTGATAAACGCCTTTTAGACACGAATTTAATTTAGACACGAGCGACCTTGCCAGCAAGTGCTCAATTATTTGAAAGTATACTTTATTAAATTCTCTATTTCTTATTTTTTTGTTACATTAAAAAATCCATTTTTTTATGACAATATATATTTTATAAAACCCAAAAGTTTGCATTATTTTTAAGGATATAAAAATTCGACTTTTGGTCTTTTTCTATGGTACTTTGATTATACATATTTTGTGTGGAACGTAATTGCAACATTTCGATTTAATTAATTCAGGAGTTCAGGCTGTTGAAGGAGTCTCTGCCGCCGGGCGTGTGGATCCGGACTTTCGCGAACCGCACCGATCTGCTGTCGGTGATGATCCGAGGTCCCGCCAAAACTCCCTACGAAGACGGACTGTTCCTGTTCGACATGCAACTGAGCAACGACTACCCCAGATCGCCGCCTCTGGTGCACTACATCAGCTTCAGTTCCGAACGGCTGAATCCCAACTTGTATGTGGAAGGTGAGTGATGCACGCAAATAGATTATGATACAAAAGTATTTAAAGTATATTCTCGGTAAAATTTATTAATATTAATATAATTTAACAATTGACCTTTAACTTTAGGTATGTAACGATATTATTGCAACTTTTTAAATATTTTAGAGATCATTTTAATTTTATGAATGAATTTGTGTTTTTTTGTCAAAAAATAGTATATTGTGTATCAAGTTTTATAAACGCCATTTTATTGTTTTATTGGAAGATTGTGACACGTAAATTATGTAACAAGAAAACAAGGTATCTTCTTCAGTGGGACGAATTTTGGTTCCCCATCTTCATCTTAGATAACTCTCGCCTTTGAATTTAAATGCTATTACAAATTTAAAAATATTCTCTTACGAAATTCATCAAAATTTCTATAAAATTATTCGATTTTTTGATTAAATTGTCGAACAATATTAACTTTTCAAGAAAATATTATTAATGAAAAAAAACTGTTTTATTTGGTTATTTAATCAAATTAAATATATTGTTTTAAAGTAAATCTTACTTTTTTTCAAAATTCCCAGGAATAACAAAGTTATAACGATTTTTGGTTTTGACTGGTTTTCAGTTTAGTAGAAATTATTTGAGAACCTCTGATTTTTTTTCCAATTTTTAATGCCATTTTAATAGGCTTGTAAGTACGCAAATTTTGTTTAATTTAACCGACGTTGTTGAATCTCTTCAATCACTAAAATTTATCAACAAATATAAAAAATTATTTTAAAAATCCATTACACAGATTTTATGCCATTTATATCTTTTTAAATTTTAGTTAAAATAATAATTTAAAATGGTATACAATCTGTAATGTCATTATAAACTCAAAGTTTAAATATGGGCACCATGTCTAATAAAATTCAAATAAAAAAGATACCCATACATAGAAGGATACTTGGGGACCCTGATTAGGGTTTTAAAGTGTCGAAAAAAAAACCGGAAAAATTGTGGGAAAAAACTTAAACGTTAAATATACTGCGAGTTGGGTTTTTTTTGCAAAAAAAGTCCATTAAAAATATCTAACTACAAAATTATAATTTTATAAATCAAAGTGTCAAATAAAAGTTTTGTTAATACAGCACCGAATATGTTTTTTTGCGGACTTACTGAATTAAAAAAAAATAATAATTATTGTAATCTTAATATTATAATTATAATTTTTTTCAATATAATTAATGTACATTAGACTGGGCCAAAAAACCAACTATTTTTTTTGAAAAGTATATTGAGGTGACAAAAAAAAATTATTGTGAAAGTTTAGCAATTTTAATTTTTTTTTCCTCAGCAAGTTTTTGTCTCAGAACTCCCAAACCATTGAGTTTAACAAAATTGACTGAAAAACATTTTTTGAAGAAAATTGAATGCTCTACAAAAAAGGTTGAAGTGAAATTTTTCGTCAGATGAACCGTTTCCTTAAAATCATGCCTTAAAAATTGGTATAGTTATACATTTTTATCTTTTAAATTGGAATTTTGTAATTAATGTAAAAATCAGTAGCCATAAAAAAACAATAAATATTCTTATGGGAAATTAAATGCTTTACAAAAAAAGCCTCTCAACATTTTTGGCTAAATTCACTCAATCAAAACTTATTGAGGGTTAAAATTTCGTTTTGACTTCAAATTTAACCTTGAATAAATTTTTTTGTAAAGCATTTGATTTCCCATAAGAATATTCATCGCTTTTTTTCTGGGTACTGATTTTTACATGAAATACAAAATTCCAAAGTTAAAAGATCAAAATGTAAAACTGAAACAATTTTTAAGGCATGATTTTAAGGAAACGGTTCATCTGACAGAAAATTTTGTTTTAACCTTTTTTGTAGAGAACTCAATTTTCTTTAAAAAATATTTTCGGGTCAATTTTGAGTTCTGAGACAAAAACTTGCTGAGGAAAAAAAATTAAAATTACTATTAATATTATGGACTCAAACTTTCACAATAATTTTTTTTTGTCACCCCAAACCATATTTACGATATACTTTTCAAAAAAAAAATAGTTGATTTTATTGGCCCAGTCTAATGTACACAAATTTTTCTGAAAATTTACAATTTTTTTAATAATATCAGTGTATACCATAAAAATTTTTAAATTTTCAGAAAAATTTACTTTTGAATTTTCTCTTATTACCCTTTGAATGAAATTTAAAATTTAATTTTTCTGATTTTTAAATTTTTCCGTTTTTTTCCGGGAAAAAACTGGATAAAAATAATAATAGCATTTTATTGTATATAACGATGTTAATTTTTTCGTTTATCAATTAGGTACAGATTTTACAATTTAATATTGGGTTGATATTTTTATACGTTATTTTATGTTACTTACTAAATTGAATTTGGATTTATTTTACAGTTTTCAATTTTATTTTGTTGGTGTTTTAAATATCTTAAAACTATGTATTTTTGTACATATGTTTATGTTCTAATTTAGGTAAAGTTTGCGTGTCCCTTTTGGGCACCTGGATGGGTCGTGGAACGGAAGTTTGGGGCCCGAACAGTACCTTGCTGCAGCTCATAGTGTCGATTCAGGGACTGATTTTGGTGTCCGAACCGTACTACAACGAGGCGGGCTACGAAAAACAAACCGACACCCAGCAGGGCTACGAAAACTCGCGCACGTACAACGAACTCGTTATTCTGAAGTTGGTGCAGTCCATGACGGAAATGCTGCAGAATCCTCCTCAAACGTTCAAGTAAGTGTCCAAATACTTTTTTTCAGACCTGCCCAGCATTTTTACTTTCCGTTTCCGATTTTTTGTTTTTTTCATTGTTTTTTTTTCCAAGTGTTTTTTTTTTCATGTTTTAGTTTTTTTTCAAGATTAGTCCCATTTGCCTATTTTTTTATAAAAACAATAGCAAGTTCTTGTAGAACATTTACTTTGGTTATGGTGGTTAAGTCAGAACATTCCGTGTACCAAAAATGAAAGCCAAAAAAATTTCGATTTTTTTTATTACGGTATTCGTTAGGATTGAGCGTTGCACGTTTTTCATCTAAAAATCTCAAAACTATAAACTTCAAGCTTCAAATTGTTTTTTACGGCTCCAATACGGAATTTGAAATTTTTTTTATCCTTTAATTTTTTCTATTAGTGTAGAAGTTTTACATTGGTTTTTACATTGGTTTCTTATGTGGAAACTACCAAATAATAAGAAATCAGATCTTTTAGTCTCTGTCAAAATTTTTAATAATAAAAAATGTAAAATATTCTACATTTCACTTTATTATTAATATACGAGGTGTGTTCAGAAAATATCGGGAATTTTCGTTTTTTGAAACAAATATTTATTTATTCGTCTACATTAATGTTGTCGCCTTCAAAATAGTCCCCATTGGATATAATGTACATGTGCCAGCTCTTCTTCCAATACTCGAAACACTTCTAAAACTCGATCTTTGGGATAGCCTTTAGTTCTTTCAGCGATGCGCTTTTAAAGTCATATATGCTTGCAAAACGACGGCCCTTTAAGGTTCTCTTTATTTTTGGGAATAGGAAAAAGTCCGACAGAGGCATGTCTGGCGAATATGGAGGCTGGGGCATCATTACAGTATTGTTTTTGGCCAAATTTTTTTTTCAAAATTTAACAATTTTAGAACAAATTTCGCTGCCACGCGTTTCATACCCAAAACATTCGAAAAAATTTAATGGGATGAGCCAATCGATATACCAACATCATCAGCGACTTCTCTGATGGTTTATAACCATTTCTTCCACTTTTTCCATGTTTTTATCGGTTGTTGATGTGCTTGTGCGTTCGGGGCGTACGTCATCTTCAACGTCTTCACGGCCATCTTGGAAACTGTTATACCACTTGTAAACTCTTGTTTTACTTATAGCAGACTCACTATAGGCCTTTGTTAACATTTCACAGAATTTATTTAATTTTTTAAGCAAAATTGGATACAAATTCTTTGATCCATTTCTTTTAACGAACGAAAAATCGCCGAGCTCATAAAACACGTCTAACCTTAGCGGCTGCCACAAACAAAGTAAACAATGAAAACACTTAAAGTTTTTATCATACTTCGGGGGCATGTATACCAACATAATAAAGAAAATTTTATGACCACCGGACCCTCCGAACCCGCGAAATTTAACAATTCCCGTTATTTTCTGAACACACCTCGTACATTTTACTCAATATTTCATTTTGAAAAATTACTCCATTTTTTAAGATTGATGTTATTTATTGACAGAATATGCTTGATTGCAGCGGATTTGAAAAAAACAAAAAACGTATTTTTCTAGTTTTTTTTTCATGTTTTTTTCACGTCTGAAAAAAAACCGTTTTTTACATCTCTAATCTCAGCGCGCAAAAACTCTTTCAGAGAAGAAGTGCTGAACCACTTCTCCGTTAGCGGCAAAAACCTCTGTGATCGGCTGGGTCGGTTCTGCAGCGACGAGGACCCCCTGGCCCCCGATTTCCCCCTCCTCCCCGTCAGCAAAGGCCTGAAGTTGTCGCTGAATTCGGCCCTAAAAGCGTTCGAAGAAAACCTGAACAAGATGCTAAAAATTGATGTTTAATTTAAGGTTGATTTGTTTCTTGTATCGTGTCCCCCAATAAAAAGTATTCTTGTAGATTTTCGTTGGACTCTGTTGGATATTTTGGAATGTTTTGTGTTTAATTATAGGACATGAAGGTATGAAAAATATTTACTTAATATAACAACACTAAACGTGGTACAATTTAATTAAATGCTACTATATTTTCTCGATTATTTCGTTTAGTTTTGTTATATTTTTTTCATTCCTTATTTTTGTGATTTTTCTGTGATGAAAAGTGTTCTTGATATTACAATTATTATATTTATAAATAGTTATTTAATTTAATTAAATTTACTTACTTTTCTCTTATATTTATTAAACTTCTTAAATAACAAATAGCAATAATGTTTATAGCAATTTTTATGTTGTGTTTTGTCTTTTGGTTATAAAATGTTTTTTTCAAAACGTTGCCTAATATTTAAGCACAAATAACAATCTCACATTGTTACTCTTATTCACTCCAATTAGCGTTAGAATAGGATTTTTTAGAATTTCTTAAATAAACATTGTTACTGTTAGCTTTTTTGTTTTTATTACATCCAAATCCTAGAATGACAAAAAATAAACAAAATCGGTAAGTATGCATTTTTTTAATACCTAAAACTTCCTATGCAGACTTGATCTCCCTAAAGAAAAGCGCCCTCTTACGGCAAATTCGAAACTTCAAATGTAAAAATTTTGCCATTTCCAACATAGTTAAAAAAATTAGCAAGAGATGGCGCCACAGTTTCATAAAGTTTCAGCTTTTATCTTATAGATGGCGCAGCCTACTAAAAAAGAAACCTGTATTTAGTTACGCCATCTCTTGATTATTTTTGGAACTAAAAGTAACAAAAAGTTAATTTTCATATACTTACTTGGTAAGTATATGTTAATTTCATATACTTACCACTACTTGTGGTAAGTATATGGTTAATTTTAGTAGGTGGCGCCATCTATTAGAAAGAAGGTGAAACTTTATAAAACAGTGGCGCCATCTATTAGCTGGAAGCCAAAACTTTATAAAAAAGTGGCGCCATCTCTTGTTTATTTTTAGAACTGTGTTTAAAATACCGAAATTTTTAACAATTGAACTTCAGAGTTTGCCGTTAGAGGGCGTTGTTTTCTCAAAAGTAGTAGTAATATTTTTAAATGTGTAATTTAATTTTTGTACTTTTTACGCTATAAACTTAAATAAAAAGCAATATGCCACGAAATAATATTTATTAAAAAAATACAGATTCGTGGTTGATCATAAAAGTTAATAGCACGCACCTGTTGACAAATACATTTAAAGGTTATGTTTTGATTTTGTTTTAGAAATGATAAATTTGTATTATATTAAGGGCGATGTGTATGTATTTAATGTGGACAATTGGTTTGAATTGAGAAAATCGCATCGAATTATAGGTGAGATTGTGGGAAGTACCTTATTTGTTCCTTCACTACCTGTTAAGTTGTTGCCAGAGGAAGTAGTGTTCTTATTGGGCAAAAATATTGCAAAATTGTACGAAATTGAGGGTGTACCGAACTGCGATGGAGTGTTTGAGGCAGAGTTATTGGAAAAACAAAAAGTTGAATATAAAAAAGTGCGATATCAACAACTGGACAGGTTTTTGGATCACATAGTCGAACAACGTCGTGAAAATGGTGATGAAACTTCAGTCAAAGATATCATCGAAGAAGAATTAGAAAAATCCTGCACTGTAGACATAAATAACTTCATACACCCAATATTTTTAGAAAATATACACGAAAGAGATCTTAAACAACTCTCAGTTGAAAAAATCCACCCCAAAACCAACCAACTAAAAATTCAAATATACAGCGACTTGTGGTCAAAGGGTTACTACATAACTCACGGCCACAAGTTTGGGGGGGACTTTTTGGTGTATGTGGGGGACCCTGCGGCATACCACGCCATGTTTATAGTGAGATGTGTGGGAGACAGCCAACCATTATCACCTCAGGAAATAGTGGCGTTTGGGAGGCTCGGCACCTCTGTGAGAAAAAGGGCAATATTGGCCTCGATAATGGAAGGGGTTGTGGGTTATGTTACCATTAACTGGATAGATGCCTGATATCACAGTTTGAATGACAGTGTAAACGTCATTTTTGACATAATCTAAAAACTTTAAAAAGGACAGCTTTGGTGATATGTTAAACAAATATTAAAAATATTGGGGAATATTTCTAATATTTGTTTATAATCTAAATATTTTATAATAAATTAAAGACGACTGTTATATTATATGAATTTTTTATAAATTGTTTTAAAGTCAAAATATCGTATTGTTTTAACAATGTGTTTGTTGTAATTTGTAATAAAAATCTTGTAAATAATGTGTATATGTGTTTTATTATTTTCTTAATTTTTTGACGGTTTAAAAAATACCAACGATGATTTTATTTTCGCCACCTTCGCGGAATTCGGCCTTTTTAACAGATTCGATGTAATATTGACCGGGGTTAATAAAAACGAAATAATTTCTTTTCGGTTCGATGGGCATTTTTTCGTTCAAGTAGGCCTTAATGATTTCGGCAAGATCTGCAGAGCGGTCTGTAAAGATGTACGATTTCTTCAAAATTTCTTCAATTTTTTGTAATTCTTCTTTGGTAAAACCTTCGTTTGAAACCTTATCCATCTGAAAAAATAACATTTACCTAACTTACAAACTAGCAATTTTTTTATTCGGAACGATTGAAAGTCAATGTATGATTTTGATAATTAATTAAAATTTTACATAAAAGTAATTGAATCAATTTAAAAGTTTAATATGCATTTTTAGGAAAATATATAAATTATTTTACAAAATACAGGGTGTTATGTAATTAATGTTATATATTAAAATGGGTTGTTCCTTAGGGTCCATAAAGAAGCACCTGAAACTTTTTTTTCTAAATTCCAAAGTCTAAAAATAATTTATAATAACCTTTATCCTACCAAAAAGTACGCCACTGATCGACTAGGAACTTTAGGTTAATCTGGCGGATTTATTATGTTATGGTTGGTAACAACTGTTTCCAAAATCTTTCAAAAAAGTTGACAAACATTGTTTAAATTTAGCTTAATTACAAAAATGACAAAATTAACAATGCAAATTGTCAATTTGACGTTTTTTATTAATTGTTGGTTTTTTCATTTTTGTACTGAAGGTAAATTCAAACAAAATCTGCCAACTTTTATGACAGAATCTAGTGCATTTCTTTTAAATTTTAGGTTATGTTTTCAAATTGTAAATATCTTAACTAAGGGAAGTGCTTTTGGATTTATTTACACAAATTAAATGTTTAAAGTTTAACCTGTGAACTGGTCCCAATTTCATCTGAGTAAAAAGAGAAAAAAACTGATGAAAAAATTAATTTTGTGGTTATGGATTTCAAATTTCAAAGGTACTAAATTTTCTAATCATTGCTTAACCCTTTAGGACCTGACTTTTTCTTTTTGGTCAAAAAAAATATTTGATATTATTTTCCGTTATTTTCATGTCTTAATAAGTGATAAAAACAGCTTATATGAAATTTTTTAAACTTTTCGAAAAAAAAATTCAAAATTCAAAATTGTACACATATGTGACCATTGGGCTTTTAAGGAGTCAAATAAGGGTTTCGTTGAGATGATAAAAGTATTGAAAATGTCTATGTTTTTTCCCGTTGAGACCTGTTGTGCACAAATGTGAACATGGATTAAAAACCCTTCAGACCTGATGTGCACATATGGGTACACCCGGTTTTTGGTTTTTTTTACGAGTTACATGCATTGACACACATTGCAAATATATTCAAATGGTAAACAAAGGTATTATTTCATTGCAAAAAAAAAACGGAGATTTATTCGATTTCAATTTTCATATAATAATTACAAAATTGTATCCCTTACCCGGCAGTTGGCCTTCCATCTTGGAATTTGAATTTAAATGAATGATTTCTCTACCAGCTTTGATAGATATGGTATAGATGGCTCCACAAAAATTTAAAAATATTGTACACAAACGTGTACAACGGGTCATAGGATGTCTTTTCAGTAAAAATGTATTTAAAAAAAAACATCAAACGGAGCGTACACAAATGTGACCAAAAGGTCCTAAAGGGTTAAGCTAATAGCTGGATCAGTAAATAAATACAGAAGGGTATTAGAGCTTTAAGAGCATAAAACTTTTGTATTTATTGAGTTTTTATTTATTTTTTGCAAGAAAAATTTGTAGTAACAATTTTTTACATCTGGCAACGCATAGCTACTTTGTTGGTTGGTATCTATGTACTCACAAAATACAGGTGTGCAGAGATAAACAAGTGTGTAACCAGTGGCGTATCACAAAAAATATAAAAAACTTCTAATGCATATTTTTTCTTTATCTTTGGAAAAATGTTTTTTTAAATATTTTTCCTTATGTCAAAAGGTATTCAGTATTTTAATATATAACATTAATTACATAACACCCTGTATAGTTATTATATTTTATGAAATACCTAGTTAAAATATTCTTACAAAAATGCATTTTGAACTATAAAACTGTTTTAATGAAATAATTTGGCAAAATTTTAACATTTGGATTTGTACTACTCTTAATCTCACCAATTCAGTTAAAAATAACTTACCTCAACATTAGCAACGAGGGCCATAATGGTTTCGTTCTTGCCGTCATCGCCAGGTATGATAAAGTTGTATTGGGCTCTGTAAGAGGGCGTCAAGATTTTGTATCCATAAACGGTTTCCTCGATTTTCAAGATTTTCTGGTAGACATCTTCAGTTGAGTCGTACTATACATGAAAAAAAGATAATGATCTATTTTTCCGCATTTATTCTTAAATGTATAATCACAGATCATACAACTTGTGTATAATGACGTTTATTTTCAATCAGTCTATACCTAATTTAAAATTTATTGTTGTCAACACTAGGGTTTTAAAGTGTCGAAAAAAAATGGAAAAATTTGGGGAAAACTGTTTTTTTTCTTTTTTTCCCAGGCCTTGAAAAAATTTTCTTTTTTGGGAAAAATTGACTTTTTTCTAAAAATATACAAAGCAATCAACAACTTAACATTATTTTAATTGAAAAACTATTACAGAAAAACAAATAAAACTAAACATTGAATTTAATTGAATTGATTTATGAAAATAAACAAAAACGTTAAATATACTGTCGGTTGGGTACTTTTTGCAAAAGAGAGTTCATTGTAAATATCCATTTACACTATATATATTCATATGAATGAATTATAAAGTTAAATTACAACATTATAATTTTATAAATCGATGTATCAAATAAAACGATAGTTATGTTGCTACAGCACCGAATTTGTTTTTTTGCGACCCGGTAGAAGATTCTTACTTAATTATAATAATAGGAATAATTATTATATTCATGTATTATATCCCAATAAATAATTTGTACTAATTATGGTAAGGATAAATTATATAATGGTTATGTAAGACTTGCCAAATTATATAAGAGTTTAACAAGTCGTCATTTATTTTACTAGTTTTATAATGGTCGTATAAGGTTACTGTAAACTCTAGGTATATAATTAGGTTATATAATTGTTTCTACAAACATTTTATATAACCTGTAGTAACCGTTACCAGTAGGTTTATAAAGGATTTTTATAAAGTTTTTGGTTACCTACCTGTTTTATAAAATTATAGTGTCTTTAATTAAAAAAAAAAAATTGTGAGTTATTACTTATTTATGTGCCTTAATAAAAATGCCAAAAATGTTTAGTAATTGAAACAGCTAAGCATAGTATTAGCTTTCGACGCAATGCTTTTTCATAATTTTTATTAAAAATTGGTTGAAAAGAAAATATTTAGCATAGAATATACTAATATAGTAATGGGCAATTCCATGATAACTCACGGGACATTCAGATGACAGAAATAAAATTTAACTTGGTATACCAGAATACCTATATTTATTAGGAATGTATAAAATGTTTAAACTTTAAAGGATAGGCCAATGTACATTTTTAACATTTTTGAATAAGTTCACCAATTGATCTCTAGACAAAATGCAGACAAAACGTGTGATAACTCATGGGGCACGAAAAACTTTTTTTTAAAAATTGGTTAAATGAAGCAACCTTTTTCTCTGAATCCTAAACTGTATGAAACATAATCTTATTTTAAAAATATACTTTGCACATAGTGTATTAAAAAAACATTCAACTTAACTGCTTTGATTGTGTGAGGTTTTAAAAAAATGGGTTAATATGATAACTCATGGGACATAACATATTTTTAGTGCAGAATTCAAAAGCAGTTAAGACTTTTTAATTATTTAAAATTTTATGGAATATTGGGTTAAATAAATAAAGTAATAATTTTCTAGGCACAAGTAAACATGTATGCTCCTAGTTTAATAACATTTGGAACATTTCGATTGATATAAATTTGAAGAAAATTACGCTATTACGCGTGGAATATACCTAATATAGAATATAGAATATAGTAATATAATATTATTAACATAAATATTTTAAAAGTGGATTAAATCAAATGATTAGTGAAATAAATTGATTCCATTGCGTTAAAACCATTATTACTGCAGGCAAAAATGGCGAGCCTATTAAAGTTTTATAACATCACTTGTAGTAACGACAGTTATTATAGTTATTATACTTGGCTTCTTAAAATATTCACGTGGTTTAAACAAATTAATGAATAAGATGACAATAAGAAAGGTAACGTATCTATGAAGAAATATATATTTTAAATGTGCCTGAGGGAGAGAGAAACATTAAAAGAAGGGAAAAAGCCGGTACCAGATCTTTAGGAAGTTATATAGTGGTTTCCATAATATTCCTGTTATCTCTAGTTATAAAACTTTACCTTACTGTTTTATAGTTTTACTAAAAAAGGTACCGATAACCTTCATAAATTCCCCAAATAAGCTCTTTAAGGGGTATATAAGAGTGATATAAATATTTCTGTTACCAAATTAAGAAATTAAGGTTTTATAATTTGGATGACATTTATGGTAACCACTATATAAACAAAAATGTTTATTGGGATGATTATAATCAGAGTCGAAAATTCCTTTTTTCTTGATATCAGTGTACAGATATTTGAAAATTTTCAGAAAAATTGACTTTAATTTTACTTAAATACCTACGTAAAAAAATACAAAAGTCAATTTTTCTGAAAATTTCACAATTTTTTCGTTTTTTTTTAAGTATTTTTCCGACGGCTAAATTTTTCCTCAAATTTTAAAAGGCTAGTCAACACTCGTGATTGATTATGGTGTTGTTACTGTAACAGTGTTACATCACAGTTACATAAGGGGGTGAGTGTGGTTTACGTAAAAAATTAAAAAGTCAATTTTTCTGAAAATTTCCAAATATCTGTACCTACACTGACATCATGTTGTATAGTACAGGACCCATACAATATTATTTTTCTTTTTTACTTACATTGCCCCAGTTGGAATTTATGCCGTATTTGTCATTCTCGAGGACATTGGTGACAGCTACAATCTTCGATTCTTTGGCCAAGTCCAAAAACGCTTGTCTTTCTTCTTTAGTTGGGTGCCCATCAGTAACTTCCCTGGTCTGAAAAAAATAATGTATTATGTAATAACTTATAAAAAGAAAAATGGACTTTTATTTATTTGCAAAAAATGGCCGTAAAAGTCGTCTTAACCAAAACCAAAAAATAAAGTTCAAACCGAAAGAAGAAGTTTTCTGAGTTTCGTTAGTTCTTAATTTAATAAATATAATATTTTTTTTTGTTTTATTTAAATAAATTATATTAACAAAAATTTGTTTTACCTAATGTAACAAAAAAAAGTCTAAATGCCCTAAACCTTATAAATGCAACAAAATTTGAAAATATGAGACAAACTTGTGGTTCAATACCAACATATTTTCTTTCAATATTGAAATAAAAACTTTCTAATATAAAAAATATAGAAGTTTACGAAATATACTGATTAAAAGCCATTGCAGAGGTTGCAAAAGGGCGTTATTATCGTCCTTACTTTCTTCAAAAAATTCTTTTAACCTTTGCAAATCTTCAAATTTGATTATCTCATTTTAATGTTTTTTGAGTTACGGTGGTCTTGAATTGCGTGTGCGATATATTACGTATAACTTATACGGTATAAGTCAAAATATTTTGATAATTTTTTAACAAAATGTCAATAGTTTATCTTGCTTAAAGTTAACGTTTTAAATTTATCTTCAAGATTAGGTATTTTTAATTTACTTTATGGATATTCCTTGCAAGAACAAATTTTGTCAAGCTAATTAATATACATATACAATTGGAATCGTTTTATGTGTATACATATAGGTTATTTTTTTATGTATTTGACAAGGTCGGTTTTATACAAGAAAAGTTGCGTAATTATAAGCCTATTAAAATGAAATAATAATAATACATATACAATGAAATACCATTGTATCTCAAAATTTAACAGCCAATTCTTATGTTAAAAGTTAAAAAAGTAGAACAGTTTTTGAGATATAGTCAATTTTCCATTTAATATGGAATTGTCTATATCTCAAAAACTGCTCCACTTTCATAATTTTTGACGGTATTTTATTTTTTCTTATATCGATCCCTTTTTAGCAAAATCTAAGCTATTAAAGTTGTATTTATAGAACAGAAGATATAGCAACTCAATAACAATTTTGTCCAAAACTCTATAATAAAAAACTTACTATAACGGCGCCTTAAAAAACAATTTTTAGTAACAGCACTCAATTGGCGAATTCTACTGGCCGGAATGCCAGTTCAAATATGACATGACCTTAGATGGAAAAGTCGGATAAAATTGTAGATTAATTTGTATAATTACATTTACATGTGAAATTTACTTTTTTCCTAAATTCCCAGGAATATCAAAGTTATAATGATTTTTTGTTTTCACACTTTTTCAGGTTTTTCTTAATTATTTTAGAATTGCCATTTTAATATACTTGTAGTTACGCAACTTTTAACGTAGCATTATATATATAGTGACGAAAACTTATATCGAAACTTCATATGAAGATATTTATATTATATAAGCATAGTTGTAATCATGTGATTTCAACAGCAGAATATCAGTGTAAAACGTTATGACCAAAGATAATACACCCCATAGATTGGAAACTCTCCCACCACTGCCCTCTAGAGCTACAATACCTGAACTATATCTATTTATTAATTGCAGACATCTGTACAAACGCTATTTGCAAATGTCAATGTCAATCATAATTATTGATCTCAATCATAATTATCAGTGTAAAACGTTATGACCAAAGATAATACATATTATAATATTATCTTTGGTTATGACCACTTTTCACACCACCTTAAAGTTGTCTAAACTTTAAAGTGAATTATGAACACTAACTAACTAAGTACCTACGTTTAATTGTATAATCCATTTTAGCAGTGGTATTTGAATATTGTAAATATATTTATATATTGTGGCCAAAACTATAGTTTTGGTGTCTGTATACAATCCAAGAACGTTGTTGGAACGTTGGACACTAAAAAGTGTTTCCCATTTTAGTCACTTCCACGAATTCCTAATAGAAATATTTATACCACGTGCAGAGATTTTGGAAATTTACTTTACAGTTCCAAGTATAAGTGGCCGATACGTTTTATCCACTAAAAATTAGTATTTTATCTAAATTAGGCAACTTTTATCTAATCTTTAAAATATACATGAAAAGGTATGTTAATTTTTGCAAGAATTTACTTAAAAGCAATGGTTTTGCAAAATATTAATTTGTGGAAGAAATAATATGCAAACTTTTTAGATAAAATATCAATATCATAAAAGTAGGTGATAAAGGAAAATTATGCAAAAAAATTGGTGGTTAGTTAGGTTAAAAACCTTCAAATTTAAATATAGTATAGTATAGTATTTGTACTAAATTTAGTTTCAGTTTTCGGTATATTTTACCCTTTTTAACTACTTTTTAACTCTGCAGTCAACTTAAACCGGTTTAAGTGAATTATGATAATACTTATACATTTTATGTACTCAATATAAATTGTACATATACACTCACAGGCAAAATAATCGATACACACAAATTTTCGATGAATTTTAATCGCAAATAACTTTTTTATTTGATGTCGGATTTAAACGAATATTAAAGAATATTGAAGATAAATTAATGGACAATCGCACAAAATTACTAAAACGTTTATTATATACAGGTTTAAACAAAGAGAAGTTTTTTACCATAAGTTTAAGACACTCTGTAGAGTGGCAAAACCGTATATTGTTCTAAATTAAGTTTTAATTAACTAGTCCCATCTACTTTTAACAGTTTTGTTTTTGGTTCACCTTGATATATATATTTTTGTGAAAAATATGGATTTTCTAAAAAAACATTGCAATTTCCAATAATTAACAGTTTTGTTGAATAATTCCATACTTGGACATGTCATACAGCTTTCAAATTGTTTTTTGTAAATTAATGTGTTAATTTACCTTTTAAAAATGTCTCCGACTGATGTTGCCCTTTGTACTTTACTTCTTGTGACGTTTAAAACACTTGCCACGTAATACTGTGACCGTCCATCCTGGATTAAATTAATGGCTCTGGCAACATCAGTCGGAGACATATCCATTTTTTAAACTAAGAAGACACCTCAAAATTTAAACATTAATTTGCAAAAACAATTTGATAGATAATAAAATAATTTTCACATTTAGTATTATTTTACAAGAAAGGCACTTTATTTTAACGATTGTATGACATTTGACAACTGTCAACTAACTTAAAACTAACTTCAGCCCGTGAATAAAAACCTGTTGCTAACTTTAGCCCGTGACTAAAGCGCCGTAAAGCCACAACTTGTCAATGTATTTAAAAGGTAACTTAGTTTCATGGAAACATGTACGATAAAGGGCGTTTTAAAGGTGGGAGTAGAAAAAATGTTTTATGAGGATTTTACAGTACCGTGCCCGAATTTAAGTTATATATAACTATAGTTTACTGCCGGCGAAATTAAAAGGTCGGTACAATGTTCATATCAACTTTTCAAATATTGGCGTTGAGAAACTATTTAATATTATTATTATTGAGATAATAAAATAATTTTCACATTTATAAATGTGAAAATTATTTTATTATCTCAATAATAATAATAAGTTGTCAAATGTCATACAATCGTTAAAATAAAGTGCATTTCTTGTTAAATAATACTATAGTATTATTTAACAAGAAATGCACTTTATTTTAACGATTGTATGACATTTGACAACTGTCAACTAACTTAAAACTAACTTCAGCCCGTGACTAAAAACCTGTTGCTAACTTCAGCCCGCGACAAAGCGCCATAAAGCCACAACTTGTCAATGTGTATTTAAAAGGTCACTTAGTGTCATGGAAACATGTACGATAAAGGGCGTTTTAAAGGTGGGAGTAGAAAAAAAATATTATAGCATCGTTACTACTATGATACATTCATGTAAGTTAATAAATAGTAAAATTTTTTTAACAAATCCTTAAAATTTCATAAATTTCGTTTCACGAAAATCATTTTTTCTTAAATCTTAATCAGCTGGTAATTTTTACTTACCTCATTGGCTGGCAAAGTGAATCCAAAAGCAATGGTTTCATCTACATCTCCATTTTTGCGATATTCTTTCGTGTTACCAATGATGGTAACATTCATGTTATATTTTTCGACAAGTTCAACGAATTTGGTCAACAATTCGTGGCCATCCAAGGTTTCCAAAGAGGAAGGCTCGAAAGTCTCCTAAAATAAGAAAAAAATGTTAATAAAATGAAGCTCAGAAAAATTCTTGGAAACACACATAACTGTCTCCAGCATATGCAGAGCTAGCCAGCAAGAAAAAAGTCACAAACTTCCACATCTTGTTTCAAGTTTAATTGATGATTTAATTTAAACTGACCAAAATTTGTTTAAAACATTTATTACGAAAACATCACGAGGTTAAAGATTGCAAAAATTACCCAATAAACATGATAGACATATCTCATGTATACATTATTAAAAATAATTATTATTTCTTATATAATTTTACTTGGGGTCAAAGTATGATAAGAACTATTATAATAATTGTGTTGATGGGTGTTTTTTGGGAGGAAATCCAGGGTTGAGTTTTTACCGGTTTTCCAATACACAGTGGAAATCCGAATGAAGAAATAAATTGCATACTGTAAATATAAATTGTACTTGTAAGATACAATAAATACGCATTTTAGTAATAATTTTCGTGCAAAATTGTAAACGGTTTAATTGAGTAAAAATCATAAAACAAATGTCGCCTAAATTCAAACAGCGTTGATTAAAAAAGTCTCCACTCAACGGCAAAACACCAAAAACGGGTATTAATATTTATAATATTTGTTTATTCTAAATAGATTTTTGTAATATGATATGATATGGGTGAATCTCACGAAATGTCCCCCGATGGTGTTACTCTGTGATATTTAATAAAACTAAATGAGTTTGGCTTACCCTCGTATTGTGTTTTGATCTTTCATAATTAAGTAGATATTACAGCTCAGGTTCCAGATTTTTAACCGCAATTAATAATTTTTTACAATGTTTCAAAAGTCTAAAACCTATCCTCCGTGACTGTTACTCTTTCTAGGTTAACCTATATGTTTTCAAATATCTGAGGTAGTAAAAGCATACTAAAAATATCAGTTCACCAAGTAAATTAAACCATCCAAAGCAATCGAATCAAATATAAAATATTATTAAAAATTAAAAGAAATAATTTTTATAACCATTTATGTAGGTGTTGATTCTATCCTCCGTGAACCTGTTTTTGCTTTAAATTGTATGCAACGGATGGCGCTTTAATCATTTTAAGCAAAAACCTCTGTTTACGACATTATAGATGCATATGATTCCTGAAGGTCAGTTAGAATTTATATGCAGATGAGAGTGTTGCTGTTTTATAGTTCAAAAGTTTAAGTTCATTAATTTGCTATTTAAAAACCTATCCACCGTGAAGTGTAATATCTCAGTAAGTAGATTTTTTTATAAATATTTTATGTATATACAATTGTATTTAAAAAAAATATTAAGGTGTAAAAAGATACAATAACTTATTTCAAATTTACAAAGGGGTTTTTAAAAAAAAACATACGAAATCCTAACCTCCGTGAATCTATCTTCCGTGAAGCTCTAATATTCAAAATGTATGATTTCTTAAAATTCTTGAATTAGTGCAGAACCACTTATGTTATGTTATTACTAGACCTGGTGGCTTCCCAAAAACCCCATTCTAGACTAATAGTGAAACAACCAAAAATAAAAAATAATCATTTTCACTTGGGGGACATCTCAATATATTCACCCATATACATAAGATATGACTCCTACGTGAGTATTTCGCATTTATTTACGTCAGATACTGACGCGTCATGACGTAACAAAAATGACATACAAATAATTTCAATTTGACGTAACCATGATTTTCCTGATTTAAATTTGACATAACGCTGATGTAATAATTGACCGAACTATAAATAATAATTATTATAAGTAATAATTATTATTACTTTATTATTATTCGAGTATAAATTTGTCGTACAGTATATATACTAATAATCGATTATGCAAAATAATCGATTTTTTAGTTATTCGATTATTTGATTAATCGATTAAATTATTAATTGTCTTTTTTTAACACTTATGACCCATATTATGTATGTAATAAAATTTTAAAAATTTTAGCAGAATTTTTTAAGCCCAACACATAAATCATAAAAATGGGTTTTCTGAAAAATCACTATTATTATTTTGTTTAGTTCAAAAAAAAGCTTCTCAATTGGTCATATTATTGTTTTAATTATAACAATTAATTAATTATAATAATTATTACGATTACATAATTAGGTATGGCAATTAAATATTTGGCATAATGTATAAGTAAAAATGATGATAGAATGTACATTCTTTATTTAAAATAATAATAGTTCAATAATCAATTAATCGAATAAACGATTAGTCAATAATCCATTAATCAAATAATCGATTAATCGATTACACTGTAAAAAATAATTAACACAACTTTACACGCGCCAACACCAAACTGTGTTATTCCAAGTCCACACGAAATCGTGTAAAATTTTAACACAGCATCAGTGTGTTGATTTGTTTTTTATATCGTGTAATAATTTACACGAAGAATAATTAAACTTTTACACATCGGTTGTGTAATTTTTACACAAGTTTAGGTAATAAATTAAACACTAGGTCGTGTTATTATTTAATATTTTAGCGTGTTAAATTTAACACTAAATTGGGTAGATAAATAAATAATTACGTTTAAAAAAATATTTTTATTTAAAAAATGATTTTATAATTTCAATAAGACATAATATTATATTATAATAGTTTTATATAAAACAAATTATTAAAAATTATTTAAAAAACCAAATTATTATACTGTAGAGTTAAAAACTGTCCTGGGTTAAAAAAATTCTACCCTGCTTAGCTTAAAGGCAGAACTCGTACAATTTTCACGTTTTAGTGTTGATTCCCAATTTAAGAACATTCGTGTAAAAGTATTTACACAATTTTTACAAAATTTACACACAAATTTTAACACAAAAAAAAAGAATTTGTTTTAAATTACAAAAAGTTTTTGTATAAATATATTTAAAAATATATCGATATTTTTATACAACATTTCATCTTCAAAGCCCAGGTTTATTTGTTAAACGATACTTAAAGCTAGGTCACGCTTCCCACAAAATAAAATGGTAAAAATATTAAAATAAAAAAGAAATTTTTCTAAATTTTTAGTTCATAAAATATTCTGTAAAATGCAAAAAAAATATGTATTTCTAATTCCTAAAACTATTTACTAAATAGTATTTAGTCAATTCCTTTCCAGTATTTCCCCCCTCAACCACAATTTTTATCGTGGTTGCTCGTTTGCTTATTGGTCTACAACTTTAATCGCTAACTAACTACAATAAAATTTTGATAATTTAAAATAATTCATAGGATTAAGTAAAAAAAAAATATTTCAGAATAAATACGCGTTGTTGGAGATAAATAAATAAAAATATATGCCAAATTTAATTAATTAACACATTGATAGACACAGACAAATTTTTGGCGGGACCTGCTGCGTCACTTGAATAATTCATACACCTTTTATCCTATCATCAAAAAATTTTACCTGTAACTTGATGATGCCTTTAGGGCTGTATATGGCCTTTAAAAAAGTTTGACGGCTATAGCCGTCATGCCCCACTATGAGATTTTTTCCAAAAAAAAAAGGTGTGATGGGTCATGACGGTCATAACCGTCCATGTTTTTTTCATTTCTACTTATCCATTATGGTAGTATAAAGTCAATGGTGAACAAATTATACTTTAATAATGACAAAAAGTCTAGATTCAAATTTAAATATTTATTTTTAATCTTAAATACTTATAATTTATAAGTTATAAAATACCTATAAATAATATAAAATTTATTTTATAAAAAGAAATTGCGTTTTTAGGACGAGAAAAAACATTTTAACGATAAAAATATAGTTATGGAAGTTATATAGTGATAAAAAATAATATAATTGTTCAAAAACTTACTAGCATTGTTACATCAAAATTTTACTCCACCTTACAACAATCAAATTTTTACTCCACCTAACAACAATCGGTCACAAAAACTGCCGAATTTTAGGTTTAAACTCGCGCTTAACAGATACTCATGAGTATATGCATATAAAAATTAATTTGCAACCAAAAATACATGAGGTCTCATGGGACACATATGTCAGAGCTTCCTATGGATCTCATTATTAATGCGCCTGCATATGCAGGCTTGTCATAAATCAGCTAGAAAATTGCGACTGCTATAGCCGTCGTGTCATATTTGGCTCGACGGCATTTGCAGTTCTGTCCATGAACGTGATAAATTAAATTAAATTTTTATAGAAAAATACCAAAAAGAAAATTTTTTTTAAAATAAAATAAAGAAAATAAATAGCACAAGATGCATGCATAAGGTTTTTAAAATCAAATTTTGTTTTGGTTATTTAACTAACGATTTAATTTTAATTTTCATTAAAAGTTACACTCAAAAACTATGTGAATGGAGTTCTATAAAATTTTAAAAAGAATTTTGTCCAAAAAATTATATTGAAAAAAAACCTAAATAAAACCGGAAGTGACATTAACTTTGTTTTTTTAAATATATTTTTCTACTCCCACCTTTAAAACGCCCTTTATCGTACATGTTTCCATGACACTAAGTGACCTTTTAAATACACATTGACAAGTTGTGGCTTTATGGCGCTTTAGTCAACGGCTGAAGTTAGCAACAGGTTTTTAGTCACGGGCTGAAGTTAGTTTTAAGTTAGTTGACAATTGTCAAATGTCATACAATCGTTAAAATAAAGTGCCTTTCTTATAAAATAATACTAAATGTGAAAATTATCTCAATACAAAAATACAACAGTATTAAATAGTTTCTTAACGCCAATATTTGAAAAGTTTATATGAACATTGTATGTTTTAATTTCTCCGGCAGTAAACTATAACTTAAATTCGGGCACGGACTCCACTGTAAAGTCCTCATAAAACATTTTCTTTACTTTCACTGTGAAAAACTGTCAATTTTCAAGAAATACATTTCGATTCGTAACCTTTATAATCTGTGTTTACAAAATATAAAAATGTGACATTTGACGGTGACACACAGATTCCCCTATTGTTTCAGAGATGGCGCTCTATACAAATTTTTGATTTAAATCATTTTAAGATAATAATAAGTATTTGTCGTAGAAAAAGTATAGTATGCACCTTGTTTATAAACTTTTCTATACACTCATTAATATAAAATTAATTAAATTAAATTCGTGTATAAAATGGCGTTTATCAAACTTGATACATAATATAGTATTTTACATTTTTAAATTCTATATAAAATTCTGAGTAAAATTACATCATGTCCCATA